CCATCATAACTGAATCCAAACCATTGCGCAATTCCCCTAAGACTGATGAAAGTGACAGCTTAGACAACATCACTACTGTCACAACAACAACAACTACCACAGCAGAACCAAATCCTAGATGGCCCCACCCAGGTGACCACATCAAGTCAGAAGTCATCACAAAAATTACACGGACTGTAACTACTACTACAACTGCAACCACCACCCAATCAAATACAACTGAACATCCAGAAAAAAGAACACATGATGTCACAACTAATACAAAAATTGATCTTGTTTCAGATAGAGAACCCACCAAGGAAAGCCCAACTAACAAGAACACAAATACTACAGTAACACAGGTGACTACAACTTCAAACCTTCCTGACACCTCATCTTCTACCATTGGCAAGATTGCACCTTACACTTCAACTACAGTTATCCCAACAAAAAGGCGAGTGATCTATTACCCTACTATGACATATTCTACATCTACAGCTAGACTTCCAGAGAGGATTGTCAACGTAACTACAGAGTATGTTCAACCAGAGAAGATTGTCACATCCCTGCTGTATAAAGGTACATTTTCCATACTTTTCTATGTAAAAATTAAACAAAAACGATATGCAGTCCTATATAATTTGATTCCTGGGTGGTTACAAGCAAGTTATTACTGTTGTAATCAGGATGGGTATCACTGAAATTATATAGCTGGAAGATACATAAAGATGAGACGGGGGTTGGAGAGTCAGGGAGAAAAGTGTATAGTTGATGGTGGTTAGATGTTAAAAGAAGTGTGTGCGGAGAGGTGCCCTTCACCTGTTTTTCAGACTGCCAATGATTATGTTTCAGGAACATCTTTAATTCTGTAGTCAACACAGCAATCATAATAGCCACTTTTTCCAGTCTTGTATTGGTAAGACTTATTACTTTCCTTAGTTATTGCTTAGGAAAACTTAAATGCTCCTGCTATGAACTGCAAGAAGTTTATGTCCACATTTCTTTAGAATGGTGTTGCTGAATTTAATGAGCCCAGAAAGGGGACAGATATCCTTCATTCATTCATTCCATTTCTGCCCTGACTTTCCTTTGAGGAAGGGCAGAGCTTTGTTCTTTCTCTTCCCCAAATTTTATCCTCGCAACAACTCCATCCTGTAGGTCTAGTAGGTCCAACCGAAAGTTGGGATTGGCCCTGATCTTCATGACTGCATGCAGAGTAGAAGCTGGGTCTCCCCAGTTCTAATCTGATATTTACAGCAGAGTGGTTTAATCCCAGATGGAGTAGCTGATCAGCTGAAGTCCTCCATTTCAGGGAGCAGACAAGGATGGGGAACCACTTTCAGCCAGAGGGCTAGATTCCACTTTGCAGAGGTTCTCCAGCCCTCATTCCAGTGGTGGGTGAGGCTGAAGGAAAAATGAGTGGGGCCAAACGTACCAGCTGATTTTACCTTGAAGCTATTACTGACAGTGACTAAGTCTTAGGAGGGCGATTTAGGGTTGCATACAGCAAGCTTCATGTGGGAGTCATAGGGTGATTGGGAAATGGAAATGGAGCTAAGAGAAAGAAAGCAATCATCTGGGGGATCCTGAAAGATCAAATGGGTTCTTCACTCTTGTAGCCACGGCGTTAATCTAGAACTTGGGAGAACTGGGTTCTAGTTTCCACTAAGCCATGAAGCTTACTGGGTGACTTTGGGCCAGTCACTGGCTCTCAGCCTAATGTACCTCAAAAGGTTGGTGTGAAGTTAAATGGAGAGCTGGAAGAACATGTAAGTCACCCTAGGCTCCTTGGTGAGGAAATGATGGGGTAGAAATGTAGCAATGCATGCCTTTTCTGAAAGGGTTAGTGCCAAGGATAACCATGGAAAAGAACCAAACCATCACAGGACTGGTTTGACAAGGCATTGCACTCTAACACGTTTAGAGTTTTCAAATGACACGAGATTTCAGAAGATCTCAATATAGACTTGCTGTCTACATTTCCTGTATCAGTTCATCTACAGGGTAATATAAGCACAATTAGAAAAGCTGATCGATGGGAATAGATCTTTGAATGAACTAGCATTATATGTCATCAAATAAAGTATTTCCAAATCTATTCAGATTTGCAATATTTAATGAGAGAAAGTGGCTAGAACTGATTACTTTTGGAACAGTCGGGGCATGATAAATTTGCTTGCATGCAAAGTGTATAAAAATATGAATTGGGCCCTTTCCTTCTACTTTTGATGTTTCTTTAATATTTCTTGTTGTATTTTACTTAATCTTTATAGCATTTTACAGATTCGCGCATTACTAATATGCCTATAGAAACTGGCTTGAATCCAAAGAACATAATGCTGATTTTAACACTGAGTTCACAAGGCTATGCAATACGCCCAATAAATCAATATCTTACTGGATCCTTCGATGGCATAACTTCAGCAGGAGTGCACTTTCAACTGATCTTGCATCTTCTTAACTATGATTATATGGATTTGTTGGTAAAGTTTGTTTTTACAAACTTAAGATGCAATCCTATGCTCTTTTAGGTGGAAAGAAGTCCCCCAGCTAGGCTATGCTTCTGTCTGAACCCACAGGGCTTCTCTCCACAGGCATTTATTGCACACTTGTGATCCATCACTCATGGAAGTTTGTGGTGGCTTTCCATGACATCATTCTCATCAACTTCTAGGGCCTCTGCAGAATTTTCTGGCCAATTTTTCAGCTTTTGCACAAGGAAAAGTCTGGCATTTTTCTAGATGGCACCACTATTTGCTGCAGAATTCTAGTGCAGTTCTGCTCTGGGTCACAGCACACTTTGTGTTGTGTAATGGGACATGGAGGCACATGCAGAAAAGCAGACAGGAAAACCCCAGAAAAACAAAGCACAACTTTGTGCAAGGGATGCTGTAATATTCCCACTAGGATATGTGCCTTAGGGATGTGTCAGGAATCTATCCAGGGGTAGAAAACCATCTGATTCCCTGGGCTCAGCTCCCAGGCTTCAATCCACATCATGGAAACCCAGAACCCAAGTTGCTGGTGAGCCCCGTGTGCTTTCTACACTGAAGGAGCTTGGTCATGGGATGCCCACTGGGAGAGCGACCCTCCCTGACCAATGTGTAAGTGGCATCTTTCCTCCATACCAGCTACATCTGCCTTTTGGGTTTCTGCTGGTGACATGGAAGAAGGTTGCTGGTTGCACCACTGGGAATGGCAAGTGTTTGTGGACTTTCTCTTGGCTCAGTTCTCCTTGGAAGACTAGGCTGAGCACAAGAGGAAGCCCATGAATTTTTGGAGGGATGGATTCTGACAGGGTTTGTCTCATCCCTAATACGCCTCAAGTAGAAAAGGCTGTAGTAATTGTTAAACGAATCAGGGGTGGTCAATTAGCCAATGTGGTCTAATGAGAAGGTGACCCCAATTTCAAATCCCAGCTGTGGAAATGCTGGATGGCCACGAAGTCAAGTTGAATTTTTGTTCTATGTTATGCCATGCTTTTATTTTATTACATGTTTATGCTGATGGTCAACATGGACTTCCCCATCCCCATTTGACTGAGCAATGGGAGAATCACCAATTTTCGGACTTACCCCAGTTCTCAAAATATCTCTTCAGAGCTCATGTCAACTTGATCCTGTTTATGTTCCAACCTAGGGTCCAGCTTTGTCAAATGGGAAAATGTGCATTTTGATTGGTAGAAGCATTATTTTTGGTGTGTAGTTTTTGAAGCTTCACACAGGTGTGCTGCATCACAAAATGCTTTGTTAGATGTGCATTTAAATGTGCATTTCAAATGCATAGTTTGAATACAATTGGAAATTTGTGAACTTTTCTTGGTAAAGTACTCCTGCTTGAGTTGAATTTCAAGTTTGTGAAGAAGACATGTCCACATGATTGGTGCATAGAAACGAAATTCTCAAGTCCCTAATTTTATGCTTGGAATATTTTAGTGAGTTAGGTTAGACAGAAAGTGAATGTTCTAAGCTCACTCACTGGACTTTGGGGCCAACCAGGAATTTGAAGCCAGATTTCATGGTTTAAGGGCAACATTTCTATTGACTTACAGCACATTACTACTAGTAGTAATACTACTACATTGCATTATCACATTGGCATTATTTAAGATGTGCTTCCATCCACATATGCATGCTCACACCTGTGAAGTGTGGTCATTTCTCTCACTACATTTAGCAACAACAAATCATCAAAAAGCATGGTCTTCTCAACCATAGGTGTCCCTGTATAGTGGACCATTGTAGGTGTAGAGACTCCAGACTGGGATGGAGAGACGCTGGTCCAAATTCCTACTAAGCCATAAAGGTTCCATGATGCAGTCATTCTGTCTCCACCTAACCAATCTCATAGACTTGTTAGGATAAACATGGGTGGGACCTTAAATCCTGCCTTTGGCTTCTGAGAGGAAAGATGCGGTTTGAGTGGCTCAAGGAATTATGCCTACATGAACCTATGCGTACATCTAAGCCTCACCTGTAACCTAATCAGTCTTGTGCGGATGAATGAGTTAAAAGACACCTGCTGGTAAGCTTATTAATAGAGTAAGTTATACTTTTTTGAATCAAAAAAGCTGTAATATATGGAAAATAAGGTATGCAATAGTGTCCTTTTAAATTATATGCCAAAATTAAGACTTGAAGGATTATGTACATGGAATGTGTGGTCTAAGTTTAGAGCAGAAAATGGGATCCTGGAAGAGTTCTAGAAACAGCCAGTGCAACTAAATAATTATCATCATCATCTTCTTCTTCTTCATAATCAATCAATCAATCATTAAATTATTATTATATTAAGAATATTAATTCAATTAATTATTCAAAATATTGCATAATTATATCTGGGAAACATTAGGTTATAGGATAAAATTTATTATCATAAACTAAACAATTTATATTAAATATAAGTTAACTGTTAGGTTTACGTTAGGTTTATATTATTTATGAGAAAATCCTTTGCTATTTAAAACTTGGGTTTTAAAAATAGAAATCGCTAATTATTTTGTCCCAGATGTACCTAGTGAGATGAATCTGTGCAACCGGCAGCCGGCCGATGGAATAGTCCCTTTACAAAATGGATCACTAGCTGTATTCAGAGGTAAGTTAACTTCAATATGGAAAAACGTAAATATGCACACTGCCGGGACTTTTCAGCCCTGGTCTAGCGCAGGTTTGAAAGTTAGTGGCCCTTCCTGGGGATTCACAGACTGCATTCCCTTTATCCATCGGAATATACTTCCCGCCAGCATTGCAACCCTCAGGGCTGCTGTCCAAGGTCGCTATGTTTGCCTACCTGCCAAGGGCCCGCACTGAAGTTGAGCCTCTCCCTCACCATTGGAACCTGCTGGTTCTTCTGCTATTTCCCAGTGGTAAGAAGAAGGAGGGAGATCACTGAGGGCGTCTTCCCCTCAAAAACCTAGAGCCACCAGTGGCACTGCCAGTGTGACCACTTAGAGATTTTATTAAGCAATATTAGAAGTATCGCAGCAATACCAATCAAATCAGAACAAAGCACCACCAGGACTTTTATTCACCGGTTTGGGGCAAAGATGTTTCAATAACTGATCAGCAAAGTACCCCTTTCTTGCAGAAGGTAATCACTGCCATCAAGCTACCAAACATCAATCCAGCAGGCCATGTGTGTGGGGGTGGTGGTCATCCTTTCCCTCTCTCTTAAGCATTCAAGCAGGTTGATATAGAAAATATTGACCCCTGCAGACTCTGAGCTCCATTTGAGCTCCACGAAGGGAGCCCCATTGGATGAAGATCTGGACGTTTCCCTTTCTTTCTTCACACCTTCAGTCTTTGCTTGCTTTCTAGGTCATTACTACTGGCTGCTGGATGGAGAGAACGCACCGTCACCTTCACCACGCAAAATCACCGAGGTGTGGGGCATCCCTTCCCCCATTGACACAGTCTTCTCTAGATGCAATTGTGATGGCAAAACTTTCTTTTTCAAGGTGGGTCACCTGTCTTCTATAGTGTGGCTCTTGGCACATTGACCAGGTAGTATTTGCATGTGCTGATCATTACCGGGAAATATGGAACGCTGCAGTAATATGAGCAAAGAAATTCCACTCAAAACATCACATTCTGCACTGTTTACCATTAAGCAAATTAGACCCATCCGACAACAAAATGTTCAATCGATATGAGGCTTAAACTGACTGATCTGTTTGTTGCAGGTTTAGATGTCTTTGGCAGAAGTCAAAACGAACTTTTTCTTGATTGTTTTGGTCAGATATGAAAAGCCCTCATTTTCAACAGGAAAGATAATCTCTGTCTAGACTGTAGCTCTTCAAGTGTGAAGGAGGGAACTCACAGGATCAAATGCTTCTCTGAGTAAAACAAAAAATATTCCCTCCTCATGAAAAACTACCATGTCAAGAAGCAGCAGTCCAGACAAGGTTTCTTTGAGATACGCTAGTTCTTGTGTTTTGTTTTGCTTTCAACTACATCATCCATGGCCTGTATCAATCCTTATCTATGAAGAATAAAAGATAAATATGAGTAAGAGGACTTAAGCATGTCTAAACCTGCAGCTCTAAGTGGAGCCACTTGGGATTAGGTACCAAGGAACATAGCGGGACTTATTTATGACTAAACACTCCCAGTATTGTGACATAACAACAGTCACACAACAGACTGTGGGTTAGTTAACCCAGCAGTTCTTGAAATCCAGTGGAAACATGTGCGATGCCCAACCCAAACACTCAGGGTTATTTAGGAGCCTCAACAATCAAGAGTTACTATACAAATAGCTGATGTGTTAACTCCTAAATAACACATTGTCTAGTTTTGTGTGCCATACTAACCATCTACAAACAAAGCAATTGTTGGTGATTTCAAAGCAGAGGTGAGATTCGTGTTGGAGTCAGTGGTCAACTGTGTCAGAGGTAGCAAAGGGATACGGCATTTTTAGCCTCATGCTTTTAGTGCAGTATGATGTATGGCACTCAAAGAAGGCAAGTCAAGCTCTTGTTACAGCCAAGTAAGGCTCAGATACAGACATAAATGTTTTCACTTTTAATGAAGTAAAACTGTGCGTGTTGATAGCATTTGCAGAGAAAAAGCAATTATTCTGAAAAATGGCTTACATGCCTTCAGAGGATGTAGGAATGTGTGACAACAAGCAATATCTAAGGAAAGACACCCCCTTGTTTCATATCTCTTCTAGGAAGATGCTCACTGTTGATAGTTTTAAATCTATATTAAAATGCTTAACAGATTTCAAAGGATGCCTGGTTAATTTGGAGCGCTTTTCAAAGTCAGTTGATCTCACTTACTTAGCTATATATTGCAGCCTTAAACTGAGTCCTTCCCAAACTTCATTTATAAACTCTGCTGCTGGGCAGAATGACAAATTGGTTTTGGTGCGCACCAGTGAGAGTTCTGAATGAGGGAAACCAGCCCAGAGTCAAGGCACCTGGTAAAAACATCTTTCTGGAAAATTAATATGGAAACAGTTTGAGGAACAGAAGTAGTTTCCAAGAAACACCAGAATGCTCTACCACACCTCATATTAAATATTTCCTATTCCTCAGCAGGAAATTTAAATAGTACTAAAAGCTGACTGCAGGTGGCCCAGTGGTTTAAACAGCTGTGCTGCTGGGCTGGTTGATCGAAAGGTCGCCGGTTCGAATGTGCACAATGGGGTGAGTTCCCATTGCTCCATCCCAGCTCCTGCCAACCTTGCAGTTCAAAAGCATGCAAATGCAAGGAGATAAACAGGTACCACTTCGGTGGGCAGGTAACATCGTTCCGTGTACTTCAGTGTCTAGTCATGCAGGCCACATGACCACGGAGACCGTCTGCGGACAAGCGCTGGCTCCCCTGGCTAGGAAATGGAGATGAGCACCGCCCCCTAGGGTCAGGCATGACTGGACTTAATGTCAAGGGGAAACCTTTACCTTTACTAAAAGCTGAAGACACCCCGAAACACCAGCAACCTACACTCAATGATCCCAAGATATAATGAGGGTGTCTCTTAGGAAAGATCAGATCTGGCCTGAGATGTTTTCCTGCAATAGTATCCTAGAAGGACTTTCCAGGATTCTTTGCATCAGTCCAGAATACAAATCTCAGGTGACACATATGATGTTGGTGACCTCATGGATTTGGCCATCTTGTAGTGAATTGACTTTGTGCCATTGGTCTAGCCCTGCTTGGGTTAACTCCTGCACAATGTGTGACTTGAGGACCAAAACAGACGTTATTTTAAATCTCTCTAGCAGCTATGTCTCTTCCCAGTTTTACTTATATGAGGTGTTGGTGCTCCTAAAATTCCATTACCCAGAGCTTCTTCATGAGCTGATGATCCTGGGGACACTTTGGCGGTTAAGGATAGAATACACAAAGGAAAGGATTCTGCAAATGAAACCTGTGTGCCCATCTCACACAATGGTTGACTTCACATGTCACAACAAGCAACCTTGAGTGCTTTCCATGGTGCATGGCTTTTGTGGCCTGGATGTGCCTGATGGATGATCACATAGTTTCTCTGTTAGCGTGGTTCCCACTCCCCTTGCTCAGTCCTCCCAGTGTTGGTGTGCATCCCATCCACCACCACACCTGAGATTCAACCCCACCACACATGGCTGGGGCAGCTTCTGTAGCAGCTGCCACTCTTTCTAGAGAGCTTTCTGATAAGTTCACACCAAGATCATGGAAACAATGCTGCCCTATTTGACTAATCAGAGAAACCATGGCATGGAAACCATAGTGCAGACTGTGGTTTCTGATCATGGTTTCTAGAACCAAGATGTGTCACGCTGAAACACCAGGACAGGTTTCTGAGGACCAACAAGCCATTCTGCACAAGAAGCCACCATGGCTCGTTCTGCCACGCAGAGCCTCCTACACATGGAAAACGCTGTGAATGCTATACGTCCCTCTCTCAACCATTAGACCTTGTATTCTCAAGCTTGCTGTGTGTGAGCAGTATTAAGGGATAAAACCCAATGTTGTAGTACAGCCTCATAGGAGTTCCCCAGTGGGTCCCCTCCCGAAGGCACATTGTTTTACACTGGGGCAGCATTAACCCACTTAACCCTTAATTAAAACACATTGCTTTACAACGGGGCAGCATTCTGAGGCAGGGAAGTAGACTTAACCCTTTGCCGGACAGTAATGCCTGCTGTGATCTTCGCCCATGTAAAAACATCCCCATGGGGTTCCAGACCAGTGCAAATGAACATGACCCAGAATACTGAGATGGGAAGAGGTAGTTTGTGGGTGTGTTCCAGAGAAAGAGAGCATGCAGGAACAGGGTTATTGCCCTTGTCCCCTTCATAGCAACATCTTATGGAGACAGTTGGCAACTGAGAATCCTTCTGTAGACCTGGCTATTTGCAGAAGAATTGCAACATGTGTTTCCTCCAAGTGGCGCTCTTGAATCAAGGGCTGATTCCTTTGCTCCAAATGCCATTTTAGTTGGTGGAGAACATGGTGGTGGCAACTTCTACCCCGTGGGACATTTTGCACAGGGAACATACTAGATACACCTCTTGCTGTACTGGTTTCCCAACAATGATATATATTTTCACAATATGCATCTTGTTTTAATATCATTTTATTGCTGATGGTAATTTAAATTATTTGTATGACCTTTTAGGTTATGCTGAGCCATGATCTATGCAATAAACAGACACAAGCATACATGGGAAGGGACCTTTCCTAGAATCTACCACCATTTTGCAAGAGTGCTCTACAGCTGAAAATAATTTCCCTATGTAATTTTTTTCCTCCTGTATCCCCCCATGGAAGAAATATGTTATATTGAAATCAGCCTGATGTTACACTTCTAAATGAACGGACTACATTTTATTAGTGTCTAATTCAGTATATAGCTTATGACTCAATGTAACCTCACCCATTTTAATTCTCAGGATTCGCAGTACTGGCGCTTCACCAATGATAAAATGGATGAGCATTATCCCAAGCCAATTATAAAAGGATTTGGAGGACTGAATGGGAAAATTGTAACAGCTCTCTCGGTGGGTAAACACAGGAACAGGCCAGAATCTGTATATTTCTTCAAAAAAGGTGGGTTCCCTGTTCCTTGAATATGTTCCTTGAATACCTTATGAGCGAAAAGAATGCAAATACTGAGCATCCATCAGTGTATTGGGCAATGTGTTTCAATGCCGCTCCCCTGATGCCTTCCAACGTAGGAGGTTACAGGCACCCAATGGACAAGAGTGAGGCAATGAAGATGGTTTCCTTGCTCCATCATGCGCCAAAATACCAAGCCAGCTGCAATGGTGGAGCGGGGCGAGGGCACTCCCAGGTCAGAGTCCAAGCCTTAATCACAGCCTGCTTTTCCAAGTTGGAAATGGGGCTACAGCTCTACCTATAATTATCTAGAGACTGTCCACCAACCATAGGGTAGTGCACTAAATTATTTCACCGGCGGGTGTTGCATTGTGGTCTAGGACAGCTTACAGGTACTACATTACATCTAATACTATCAGTTGGTGGGAGTAAGAAAAGTGTCATTTAAGACTGATTTATTCCAATCAATTAAATGTGCATAAATTCGCATGAGCAAAGCCAGTGGATTTAAAGGGAAAGAAGCATTCTTAAAGATGATGCAGCCATCCTTTTAGATAATGACATTTTAGTGCTTTAATGTTATTGCAGTTCCATTTTGCAAGTCTACTCAGAAGTAAGTCCCACTGAGTTCAATGGGATTTATTTCCAGGTCCGTGTGTATAGGATGGTCTTTCAAAACCATCCTATAATGTTTAGACAGAACAGTCTAAACAGTCCTGGGTGCTATAGAAGCTTTTTCTGCCTAAGAATGCCTAGGACTGCACCTTGATTATCCTAGGGTTTTGCCATGTTGTTGTTGTTGTTGTTGTTGTTGTTGTTATTATTAGAACATTTCTATGCTGCCCCTTGCCGAAGCCTCGGGGCGGCTTACAAACACAATTGTTATGCACCAGCTTGATGGCCTTTTAACAGATCAAGACATGATTAATCAACAAAATCTAATTAATTAAATGACTTAACCTATTTGGATTTTTAACAGATTCAGATCTCCATTTATCTATCTGTAAGATTAATCTGAGTAGCTGTATACTTATTCCATTCTTCAAAAAGCAAAGCAGGAAATCTATAAGAATACTGAATTCGAGACATACTAATAATAGATTGGGCTGCCAATATTAATCAATAACAACAAGAAACAGGGCTCAAATAAAAAAGAAGCATAATTGGCATCTTTCCTTTTGGTCAGTATGATTTTTCTCTGTTACAGGGGGTGGCCTCCAGCAATATACCTACAAACAAGAAGGAACAAAGAAGTGCAAGAAGAAAGTCAGGACTGTGAAATATCCAATGTATAAACCAAAGGCTGTGATTAGGAAGAGGCGGCGCTTTGAACGTGCAGTGAGACCTCATCAGATTTTCCGCAGCATCAGAATCAAACACTACCCAGTTGTTCAGATCAGCCATTATCCAACAGGTAGCTTCATCATTTCTTACTGGTAATCATTATAGCCTCACATAATTATGCTGTTAAATCCCATGAAATTCAAGCTAAAACCACCTGTAGGCCTGACTGTAGCACTGGATGCATTTGTATGTCTGTCTGTCTGTCTGTCTGTCTCTAAGCTACTTAGGTGTTCTGCTTTGCTTTGCTTTGCTTTGCTTTTGGCATGGGCTAAGCTGGTTCACCCACACTGCTGAACTACAATTTAAAACATGTATAAGCAGGAATTAACCTGCATGAATGACAAAGCTCCTACACTTTCCTCTGCCCCCAAACAGGAGGAGGAATAAACCAAAACATTGTTTCAGTTTTAGGAGACCTCTAGTTTGTCATCATATACAAACTAAGAATTACGGGTTGGTTTTAAAAGGCCCTAGTCTGCCAAACAAAGCAAAAAAACCATCTAGGGTTGAAGTTAGTTTGTTTAGCAATTGACTAGTTTCTCTTAAACCATAATTTTTGGTTTGCAGATGTGCCAAGCGAAGCATCTGCTACACTGAAGTGAAATTCTGGGTTTCCCTCCTCCTGGCCGTATGGGAGGAGCTGAGTGCCACTGCATGAAAACACACCCTGCTCCTTTCTCTGTGTCGCCATGGCTTAGCATTATGCTTGAACCAGGATAAAAGTTTCCAGGGCTTTTGGAACACCCCTTCCTTAATTTCAAGAGAGATTATTTTGCGTTTGCAGGAGTGCTACAGCCAGAGGTCCAAGTTGCATCATACTGGAGAGGATTCCCAAAGGAAATCAATTCGGTCATCTCAATCCCGAACGATCAGAAGCCAGATGGCTATGACTACTATGCTTTCTCTAAAGGTATGTTACGGCTGAAAGGTGACGAACATCTCCAAAAAACGCCCAACTTTTCTGGCTACTTCTCACATGTGCTCCACTTCAGACCCCCAATTGTAAAAGGGGAGCATGCCACCCTTGTCTCCCCCACATCCCCAACATTCATTGAAGTGCTGAACAGGAAGGGATCCGTGACTTACCTCGGTAAGCTTTTAAAGAGGAAAAAGCAGGCACTGGATTTCAATATGACCTCAAGCATAATATAATTTACATTAAAACTCAATTTTAAGTAAATCCTGGCCTGCTCAATGCGATGTAGTTCCCAATTGGAGCCGTGGCAGAGTAAGTTACACCAGATGAATTCAAATGCCATCCTTCTGGTGGCTTGTGACCCTCAGCCGAATTTCCAAATCCCTTGGCATGCGATTGGTTCAAACTTTTGGCAAGAGCGAGCAGTCCTTTGCCTAGAAGCTGGCTGAAGGGGAAGAGGGGAGGCGGTAGAGGAAAGCAGGTGGCAGGAGGCAAGAGAGCAGAAGCAAGCCTGGCAGAGAGAGAACGGGGTGACCCAACATGCGTGGCCCCCCACAGATTATCTGTGAAGAAATGCACCACTTCACAGAAGAAAGCTTGCCTGCTATCTCACCTGAAGAATATCTGAACTACCAATATGAGGCTGGTAGCACACTGTGCAGAACTTTATTTATTTAAAACTTTTGTAGACTGACCCATTACTGAAGTTTTGGGATGGTCTAACGATAAAATATAAGAAAAAAAAATTAATTAAAACAGTGTCCTAAAATTTAGCAGTTAATAAAAATCCCACTTAAAACAGTCAGGTCTTAAAACACTGGGAAAATAAAAAGGTTTTGGTCTAGCACCAAAAAGAATAAAGTGATGCCGCCAGGCGAATCTCTCTGGGGAGTGAATTCCACAGTCGAGGTGCCACTGCAGAGAAGGCCCTTCTCCGGGTAGTCACCCTCCTAATCTGCTTCAGGGAGGGCAGTTGGAGAAGGGAGTCTGCCCCAGATCTTAAGGGGTGGGCGAGCACATATGGAAGGAGAGGCTCCTTCACGTAACCAGGCCCTAAGCCATTTACCAAATGCTTTAATGAAGGCAGGCAACATATTATGTGAAATGCCCTAGGTACCGAGGGCCACTAATCTTTTGAGTAGCAGCTCTCTGCCAGTGGGCAGCTAATAATCTCTTTCAGGGAAAGCTTTTCTAAGTGAGCTACAATACTCGTGACAAGGTATCAGGAGAGCCCCTGGCCATCAACATGACTGCAAAAGGAATTGCTTTTCTAGCAAGAAATCAGTACGGCATCGAACATGTAGCCAGAGTGCCAGGCTCTGAGCTGTATGAGAATGGTTTAAAATTCAGATGTTAACAGTCAAGCAAGAAACCTCTTTGGAAAGTTACCCCAGTGCCAGGTGGAAAGTTTCCACCTGGCACTGGGGTAACTTATGTTTGTAAGCTGCCCCAAGGCTTTGGCGAATGGGGTGGCATATTTATTTATTTAGCAGACTTATATGCCGCCCCCTTCGCCTAAGCCTCGGGGTGGCTTACAAATAAATAAATATCATTAATACAATAAAATGCAATTGGAGACATCCTGGCCAAAGTTGTTAAAATCAATAAATAAAATCAATAATTAAAATGCCATTTTAAAAAGGTCTTGGCCTGGTGCCGAAAAGCAAATAATGATGGCGCCAGGCAGACCTCTCTGGGAAGCGCATTCCATAGGTTGGGCGCCACCGCAGAGAAGGCCCTCCTCCGGGTACTCACCCTCCTAATGTCCTTCACGGAGGGCTCGCGGAGAAGGGCCTCTGCCACCGATCTCAAGGGGCGGGAGGGCACGTATGGACGTAAGCGCTCCTTTAGGTACGCAGGACCCAAGCTGTTAAGGGCTTTATAGGTGATAACCAACACCTTGACTTGGGCCTGGACTTCGATGGGGAGCCAGTGAAGCTGACGGAGGACTGGAGCCATGTGAGCACAACGCCCAGTTCCCATCAGCAACCTGGCAGCTCTGTTTATAAGTTATATAAATAAAGTTTCCCAAGTGCAAGGTACTTGCACTCCTTGAATTCAAGAGGAGTGACTTCTAAGGGGGGATCTATTTGAAACTCATATTGGGGTATTTGCAGAAGGCACTGCCGTGTATTCGGAGACAGTGGAGCTTCAAGCTTCAAGATAGGTCTGTCTGATGGATGTAATGCGACTACACCTAGATGGCTCTTTTTCTCTTCCAGATCAGTACTACCACGTGGATGTAGGAAGCCGAATAGCAAGACCAGTCACACAGCACACAGGACAGACCGTGTCCAGCGCCTGGTACAAGTGTCCTCTGGAGTGATTTGGAAATGGAGAGCCAGATGAAATGTAACAGATGAAATGCAACCACGTTTGACAATTCCTCTGATTTTTTTATTAATAAAAGACAATGAAATGTTCATACACCAATCCAAATTTAAAATAAAAAACTGATTGAAGCTCGGCAGCCATTACACTAATACAGATTAAAGGCAGACTAGACAGTATACACCATTTCCAGAAAATTTGTACAGGACTTAACTAAGGTTGCCTCTGTTTAGGCCTCCTCTGCCACCCATTGCATGAGTTACACCTGTAAGAAAAAGTAGAAAATTTAAATACTTTTACTCCAATTCTCTACTATTAGCCCTTTGCTACTTTAAATATTAGATGATTCCATGGAAACCCACCCATTTGTGAAAACAAATGTTCATCTATTGGAAAATTATTGTTAGGAAAATAATTTAACAATCATACATAAGACAGTTTTTCCATAGAAAGAAGCATAACAGACACCAAATGCTTAATTTGGGTTGGAGATTTTAGCAAAAAGAGCAGACTGTGATGGGAATGCCTTCTGGTTCACTCAAATGTGTTGCTGAGAATTAAACCGATTCCTCTCTTAAAGGTTATGGGAACAATTCAGTTTGGAGTTGACTGGCATATTGACAGTAAAGACTAATTACTTGGAATAAGTTCTAATTTATTTTCATGGAACTAAATTCCAGGTTTAAAATGGATCAGTTCTTTAGGAAATGTCAGTTATCACTGCCTCTGAAAAGCTTTTAATTTAAAAAAAAACTATTTTAAAAATTACTATTTCATATAAGATCCTACCAATGAACTATTTCAATTTATTTTTTTGCTGGCTAGAGTAACTCATGTACCTGTACAAAAAATAATGCACTGTTTCAGATCATCTTAACATCTGAAATACTTTCCTTATAAGCTGTCATTTCCAAATCAATACCTGGGTTGACATGTTAAGGCTTTTGGGGCAAAGGATCCCACTTAAACCCTGTGCATGTTGTTGGTACTATTCAATACATTATCCATTTTCTTTACGAGCAAGCAGGGAAACTTCTTAGAGATCATGTAAGGTTTAATAAAGCCGTGCTAGCAAAGAAGGCCACCTACCCCTCTGTCTGTTAAACTGACGACCACGAACTCCAGTTCGTAAGGTTGGTGGCTGGAGTCTAACCCGTCGGAAAGGCTTGGGATGATTGCTGCTTGTGTCTGAAAGAGAAAGAGTGTGGGAAAAAGAAGTAACGCCATGGCTGTAGTGACTTGTATAAAGGTGTGCTAGTAAGTATAGTCACGGTTGATTTTCAAAATATATGCTCATCTCTTGATTCTTGTACTTCAGATCTGTGAAGTTCCAAGCAAATAAAAGCTGTAAATGGAAATGCATCTGGGCTTTCTCTTTCTACATGCTGCTCCCTTGCTAACATGATTTTTTTTCAAATTGTACTTCAGAAGTAAAAGGAGATTTAAAAAACCTCCAGTACTGAGAAAGTTACTCAGGAGGGATGCTGGAAAATTTATTCCAATTTGAGGGTCAACCTAAGCAACACTCCCTGGAGTATAATGTGTATTAGAATGCATTTATTCTTTGAGCTCATTCACCATTATAAATTTTGCAATGCCTTTTCAGCTTGAATAAAGCATACATAAATGTGTATTTTAAGGAGAATTACACAAACACCTTAGGGAAAATGTGCATTTCTGTAGTTTTTTAAAAAACACATTACAGATAAGCAGATGGACTTCTGGGTGAATACATAAATAACTGATATGAACTGGAAGCAGACTGATTTATCCATCCCTACTCAACAGGAAAGGATAGCAAAATAAATTTGCTGGATTAGTCAAAATTCTGGAGAGCAATATGCTTGGTTAGACCTTTTAAGCTGCAAGGATCTATGCAGAGTCCCTGTTTTCCCTAATCATGGGGTCAGACAAGGGACCTCCCTTCCCATACTGAACAGAGCACAATCAACAGGCAAAAGGTGGTGGGATGAGAAGAATGAGACTTAGAGCTGGTTCATCTTAATACGGCAGCCCTGTATCAATGCAAATTCAATAATCCTCCAACCAATGTCAGGACTTGATGAGAATGACTTATACCGGCAGATGAACTTGAAGGAGGATCTTGACTAGTAGAAGGAAGGTCTGACTCGTCCGGAGCCTGAGCCGATTCTTCCTCTTGCTGGCTATCGATTTCTAGACCAACCTCTGAAGTAATTCTGTGGAAAGGGGAAGGCCAGGAACAGGTTTAAAATGACGCACTCAAGCACATAACAAACTGTGCTACCATGCAATGTTGATTTCCTATGTCTTCTCCAAAATTCTTTCTTGGAGCTGAAACTTTTAACATGACAAGTATGGAAGTCAAAGCCCTTGCTAGTTCTTCAATTCATAAAAAATAACAACTGAATTTCGACAGGACTGCACGATAAGCCTTGATTATCAGTAACATTTAGTGTATATGAGATGACACATGAAATAATATAAGTAACATATGGAACAATATGAGATGATGACAACGCAGAGAAGGAAGTCCTTATCTTGAAATCCAGTAGTCCTGCACTAGTAAAATATTAGCCATTATGAGAGAGGGGGAGAAAGGCAGCCAGAGCGGGAGAAAAAGGAGGACCTTTATTTTGTGCAGAACCTCCATCTCTGGGTGGGGCAACAGGCAGTGCTGAGTCTGGATTCCGAGCACCCGCGTTGCATATCCTGCAGACTCAGTGGAAAGGGTGGGTGGCAGCTTTTGCTTTTACCATTAGTGTTCTCAAATGCAGTGCTTTAACACTGTCCCACCGGACGCCATTCGTTCACGTGCAGGAGAGAATGTAAAGGGCTGCGCTCTGGAACAGCATTTGTGAGGGACAAAAGCCATACCTCAAACATGATTCACCTGCCCCTTCATCTTCTGTTTCTTGGTCAGAATTTGGCAGACTAGGGAGGTTTCCTCTTTATAGAGATTACTCATAGATAAAGGAACCATTCCAGTTTACACTGGGTCATGCAAAGCTTTCAGGGGACGTGCTGGGAATCACAGCAAAGTGTCAAGGCTTGATTCTTAGATACATTCGACTTGAAATTGCAGAGATATTTTCTGTCCAACTGACTTTCTGCTGGCAATTCTTCCAGTTATGTTTTTAGGGCCACTGCCAAGTGGACTGGAGCCCAGGGAGCTGAGCTGGGGGAATCCAGCAGATTCCTACCCACAAATGGATTCCTCGCACATCCATAGTTTCCTCATTCTTTAACTGCTGAACAGACTTTTGCATGACAAGTCTGGGTTAAGCGCATTTTCTATGGATATAGAAGATCCTAACAATGCAGGAGATCTGTAAGAAACTGCTCACTGCAGAGTGTCACTCAGGCAGGGTGGAATTATGGCACTGCCAGAACAAAGCACAAATTGATGTGTAGAGTACCAGAAATGCAGGAGAGTCTGGAGTACTCTGATCTTTGCGCAACTGTGTTTAGATTAAAGATACCAAATCACGACGGATGAAACCGTAAGCACGTTTAGACAGAGCAAAAGTGCCACAACTCCTAGCACCCGCTAACCAGCTAGGACATTTCTGGGGCTAAAGGGGCATAGCCTTGCGCCCTAAGAGGAATATATTCTTGAAAAACCTAATGAATTCCTTGCCATGTAGCTTCGTAAAGGCTTTTCAAGTAAAATTACATGCATGCCATTCACTACAGGCAGGATTAAGTCTTAACCCAATGAATAGTTGAACTTACCCCTCTGATTCAGCTTCCACAAAAACCTCATCACCATCATCTCCAGTTCCAGACTCTGAAGTGGTGGATAAGTTACCAGTGGATGTTGTAACCATGGGGACAGACTGGGAGGCATGCTCCGAAGCATCAGCAGCAGTGCTCTCAGTGAAGACTGAAACTTGAAACAAACAAGGGCAAAAGCAGAGCATAGAATCTAATTATCTAAGAATTCTACCTCCCCTTCTCCCACTCGCACACACACACAAATTGCTAACAGGAAATTTCAGATTCTGACCATGGACATTAATTCATTTTCGGCTGATTTTATGAAAATTGACATGCCTTACTTTACAACTAACATACGTCAATGCTTTGCTGGCATCTGCATCTTGCCATACCAAAACTTACGAGGCCATTCATCTGCCACGTACGGAGGTTTACTCGGGATTCAAGAGTCTGGCTTTACCACTTTCCCGGGAACTGCAAATTCAGGGTGGCTGCCAAACATTTGTTCAGCCACCATACATGGCTGGTGGGCTGGGTTCTGCTTTGGAAAGCAGTTTGGGCAGACATGGCTTTGTAGAACTTTATGTTTATTTCTGATACGATCTCATCCAGAAGGAAGGTGGTTTGAGATTAATTCCATGTATTTATTAGTAAAACTTAAATATCCCTTGAAACAATCTCTATGTGGTTCAAAAATAAATATTAAAATCATGCTGAAATGCACTATTAAAAAGAATTGGAAGGATTTGAGGGAATACGCATAGAAAATAGCTGTGAATTTTAAAGCATGTGCACACAGGAGACTGACAGTTGGGTAGGGAGAGGAGAGATTTGGAAGGATTGAAAGCTGTACTATGTGAAGATGTTAACAGTCTTAGGTCCCTGAAACCTCCTAGTGCTTGCTGACATCTAAACCTTTTAAGCAGAAACCGGCAGCACATTTTCAGATTTTCCCCCGACTACAAATCTGGATTTCATTGTTGTTGGTAAAAGTCTATAAGCTGGTGCTGAAAGGATTCCTTATTCCAGGTCCTCTACTTTAGGACCTTGCACATGTACTTTGGAATGTCCTGGTTTGCACCATCAGGCCGTGGGGTCCTATTTGAATTATGGCAGAATCTGACTTCACCTCCTATAACAACCCCCAGGGGCAGCTTGTCCTGTCGTCCGAACCCAGAAGACATAACTCATGGGAGCGGAGCAGAACCCTCCATTAATCCATGGGCTGCTGCAAGGTTAACTGGAGGGTGGTTTCCCCCACCGCTAAGACCTGCTGCCCAGGTCTGCGCTACATAGCAAGATGCACCTGGGTGACTACGGAAACTGTGCCCTGCACATGGCGCCATGACTTAAATACAGCACAGTGGTTTATCTTGATAGTGCAAATGGGTAACTGTGACTCTTGCAATGCAAACCCTTCACCTCCTTGCTTAGAATTGGGTTTTTGTTAAACAAGGCAAGCCTTGATCCCTATTTGGACACCAGACGTAAGCCGCTCTTTAGATGGCACAATCTGTCCCCACAAGAAGGTCACACAGAAAGAACCATTATGATCTCACACCTTGCTGAAACAACACGCTATTTGGAAAATTCCAATACGCACCAGGTGCCGCAACCTGCAGTGGCGTGGTCGGGACACTACGACCTCCTGATTCTTCTTCGTGGCCAAGGAAGAGTGGTGTTTCATAGATTCCTAGCCCTGCAAGCCATTGAGAAGGAGTTAAAGGGTTAGCAGAATACACAGCCTGTCCCCAGGGGAGTTCATGCCACACTCCAGTTTGATATTTATATGGTTCTGGCAAGGATCCTACAGAAGGGATGACACTTCAGCTACTGGCGGTATAAACATAGGGGCAATAAATGTAGTTGTAAACATGAGAATAATTTATCTTTTTCTCAGCCGCAGTCCTTACACTGGATGTCCAAAGAGTACTACTTTTCTCTTAATGTTTTTCTGTGCAGTTAATTCAATGCCAGTAACTAAAAAAGGATCTAAATAGCCCTTTACTGAAGATGGATGTAAAATAATAAAGAACACACAGTCAGGAAGTTTCCTAAGTTTTGCGAAACAAACAAACAAGGATGAGGTAAAGTACTGTGACTCCTGGCACTCCAATTTCATACTATTGGAAAAGTTGCATGAATCAGAATCAGAATCCATCACTGGACTATCATTTTGTAACTTTATTTTGATTATTTCCTTTAGATTTCTGTGTTGAAAAAGACTGTATATTTCACACAGGTATAAAAAATACCCTTCACAATTTTATATCTCATTTATTTGGCTTCTAAAATTCTGGGTCTGCAGCTATGCCAAATACTGATGAAGAACTGGGTGACTGAAAGGCAAAAAGAGTGGAGGACTAGAAGAAACAGATGAGGGTCAGAGACGTGTTGGACTCAAGAAGGAGTCACAAGAAAAGCTGCCATGTGATAATGATGGGAGAAAGGGTTCAGTGTCCTTCCCCATCCCCTGACAACCAATATTTCCACAGTCTCTGAGAATTTACCACCCAGGTTTCTCTAATGCCATGCAGGCTACAATCCTGGCTTTGTTTTAACTGAGAAAATGAAATGTTTGCAAGTGTAGGAGAAATTTGCTTATGGCATTATTTTAAACAGGCAGGGAATGAGCTACTATAAATTATGTCATACACTTTAGCACCTCAGCTGTTTTTCAAGGAAGGCCAGATATTACTTTGCCTAGAACAGCAGTGGGAACCTATCACAGCTGAATCATATGTTTGGATTATATTTGGTTTGCAGCCCACTGCTTATAAAACAGATACTTGTACCTCCTTGCGATGCAAGTTGCCCGAGGTCTGATTGACCAGAAGTCTGTGGCATATCTTCAGGAGGTCCAAACCTGAACCTAGGAACTCCAGCAACCTGTGGGGAGCTGGAAGAAAGGCTGACTTTAGTATGATATATTACTAATTAATTCCTCTTCAGTATAATGTACGGGGAAGAAGGAAATGGATAAATGGGGTAACTTCATAGCCATTACGTCCTGAAATTGAAACTTATTCCCTTCCAGTGTCACCGCTCCGAGTGCACTTACTGAATTGCTTCTGCAAATCCATCCGTACGATGTGGTACCACCAATGTGGGAGTGCTCGGAACAGTCCTGTCTTCATCATCAAAGAAGTGCTGTTGCTGAAAACAAACATGAAAATGACAAGCAAACTCAACAGCTATTTAACAGCTCCAATAGCTACTCCATCCATCTTTAACTAGGAGCACCTTTAATAACCAGTCCACTGCCACTGGCAGCTCAAGCATTTGCTCATTTTATATATATATTTTTCAATTTATATCCTGCCTTTTTCCTACAAAGGGCTCAAGGCAGCTTACATCATTCTCCTCCTCCATCTTATCCCCACAACAACAACCCTGTGAGGTAGGTCGGGCTGAGAGTCTGTGACTGGCCCAAAGTCACCCAGTTGGCTCCATGGCTGAGTGGGGACTCGAACCCAGATCGCCTGAGTCCCAGTCCCATGCTCTTAACCACTACGCCACACTGGCTCTCCAGTGTTATATTTTGAGCTGATGAACAAGACAGAGAAAATAAATCAAGGAAATGGTTCCCAAGGAAAGATGTAAGGATTCTTAATTGTTTTTCTCCCATCTGTAAAATAAATGCAGAGATGAAAACACACTCGCATTTAGTTTGGGATCAACTGAAGGATTGTTCCCTGAAAAAGGAGTACACCCATGTAGCCAAGGAAAGGATGTTCATGGCAACTATTCAATCCACTTAGCACACACGAAATGCCCGGAACAGGCAGCCTAAAACAGGCCAGCAGCCTGCCAGAACACAAACCTGATGAATGAAAAGTTCCACGTTTAGAAACTGCAACACTCACCATGCCTCCTATACCAGGGGTCAGCTGAAGTCCACGTCCCACTGACTGCCTCCGAGTCATCTGGATCCGCTACACATCGAAACAAACAAACAAATGGCCCAGTACACATTAGGTGGAGAAGCACAGGTGAGTCAGTCAAACCTATCATCAAGCTAATCAATGCAGACATGGATTGGTTTATTTATGGTTCATGTTGGTGTCACATGTTCTCATTCCTAAATCCGTTCCTATTCCATTTTTTCACTTATCTGCAGTTTAAAAAAAAATAAGCACACAAAATAGGTATTTACATGTTTGCTCATAAACTATACCTTCCTAAATACTTGGCACATTTGTATGCCTTTTGACATATTTCTTAAGCACAAATTGCAAAATCAGTGTGAAATCCAGGTGCGAACCTCTCTAGTTCTTATAATAGTCCAGAAAATACAGATCAGGTTGATTTACTTCAAAATACAGACTGAAAACCCCTTAAAACATCTCTCCATTTGTGTGCGGCTCCTGGAAATGATGACCCTTTTAAGCTTAGCACTCTGGTGGCAATCAGTCAATCAGAGCAAAAGAACAGAAGGCTACTGTACAAGTCTGAAACACTGGGGAAAGAGACCCACACTGTTTTCTCTTTCATTCCTAAACAGCATCCTTCCTTGTGAGATGCTGATGCACTTGGGTCTAGGAAGGAGAGCCCAAGATGCTGAGAGAGTGATCCCATTGGGCTCCCCATTGAAGTCCGGGCCCAATTCAAGGTGCTGGTTATCACCTATAAAGCCCTTTACGGCTTGGGTCCTGGTTACCTGAAGGAGCGCCTACGCCCATATATGCCCACCCGCCCCTTGAAATCAGCGGGACAGGCCCTTCTTCGGGAACCCTCCGTGAAGGGTATTAGGAGGGTAAGTACTCGGAGGAGGGCAACCTATGGAACGCGCTCCCCAGAGAGGTCCGCCTGGCACCGTCATTATTAGTTTTTCGTCGCCAGGCCAAGAGCTTTTTATTCAAACAGTATTTTAATTAATTAATTAATTAATTAATTATTGGAGCACATCAACTCAAATTATATTATATTGTTTTATACTGTGTTTATTTATTTATTATTGTGAGCCGCCCCGAGGCTTCAGCGAATGGGGTGGCATAGAAGCCTTCTAAATCAATCAATCAATCAATCAATCAATCCTTTGGGTGCAGCCCAGTGGGGCCTGGCCAGTATAAAAGAGCTAAAGAGCTGGCCAGTATAAAAGAGGTATGTGAGTGCATAGACTGCAGATATATACCTGCCATCTGAGTCAGCAAATGACAAATGAATCAGCTAATAGCAATAGAAGTTTCCTGTCCTTGTTTCTTGACAAAATACAGTTCACTTGCATCCACAGCAATAGTCCCAAACTGTTATGGTTCCTCATGTCAAACTGCCTCACACAGACACCAATATAAAACTTAAGATGGCATTTTAAAGCACAAGGTTTTAAAACATGCTAGATGGCAAGTTGAAAGAAAGAAAGAAAGAAAGAAAGAAAGAAAGAAAGAAAGAAAGAAGAATCATTGCTATTTAGGAGAACATGTTATGAGGTTTTATGAACATCTCAACTCTTTCTTAGCTGCTACAGGAAGCATATTCAGCCAGCAGGTTGAGATGCCATCTTTGTTACTTAAGATACAGCTTTGTTATTTAACAGCTTTAATCTAGTTACTTTTAATCTTTGTTACTTAAAGCTTTTAATTTAGCACTACCAGCAGACTAGACAGGAAGCAAAAGGAGCCTTGGAATCCAGAACCTGGAACCGACACATCCCCCAGGGGCAGTGTAAAAACACCATTTCTGCCAAATATTGCATCTAGTTTCAATAAAAATATCAGAAAACAAATGAGAACGGGTCTGGTATAGATGTCAGATTGCTGCATTTAGGCTGCAGTCCTATGCTCCAGAGTGATCAGCCTTTACGTCACTATTTCCTCTTGCCTCCCCATGCATCTTTCCTGCCATGCTGTGCGCTCTTATAACAAGGGGGCTGACTTGTTCACTCACTGAATACAAATAGCTCTGGGCCCTCCCGCCCTGAGATCTGCGGCAGAGGCCCTTCTCCGGGAACCCTCCGTGAATGATATTAGGAGGGTGAGTACCCGGAGGAGGGCCTTCTCTGCAGTGGCGCCCCACCTATGGAATGCGCTCCCCAGAGAGGTCCACCTGGCACCGTCGTTATTTGTTTTTCGGTGCCAGGCTAAGACCTTTTTATTTAAAACTTATTTTAATTGTTAACTTACGTATTTATAGGATTTTAAATTTTTAAGCCGAAATGTTACCGGGCTTTTTAATCTTTAATTGCATCAATTGTTATTTATATGTTTTAATTATGCTGTGAGCCGCCCCGAGGCTTTGTTGCGATGGGGGCGGCACAGAAATGTTTTAAATCAATCAATCAATCAATCAATCAATCAAGGAATACACCTGCAGCCTCCCAGGTGTTGACAGGCTGGCTGGGGGTGACACGAGTTAGAAGCCAGCATCATCAGGTATGCTCAGGTTGCTCCCTTCCACCTTGCAGACACCTGCCTGGGAAAAGGCATCACTGAACCACTGTGGAGTCCCTCTACGTGCTTGTGCAAATCTGGGGGCGAACCACTCCACCCCTCAAGCCCTAACACAACTTTAAAATCTGATCTGCTGACGTAAACTGTCTCACAAGATTTGTGTGTGGACGCAAGGAGAATTAAATGCACTGACTTGAACAAGATTGGGGGACTCTGGACAAGCGCCAAAAAACAGAGATTAAACACACCCCCAACATGGGACATGCCCTCCAGGTAGCCAAACAGCCACATAAGTGCTTTGCATGGAGGAGTGAGCTGGAAAAGTGAAATGAACAGCACTATAAATTCCTTGTAATTTTCTGAGTAAATATTCAGAGAGATTCTGCTGAGTTGAAATAGCACTTTTAAAGGGACTCATAATTATTTTATTCCGATTGGGCCACGTATGTAAAACATACACCCAGAGATAAATTCTTGGAGGCTTTTCCTACACTTTCTGGACAAAGTGACTGCCAAATTTGAGGCAAAAATAAAAATTGACTAGCTATGGAAATTCATAATTACTCCGGGGGCTCTTTATTTCAGTGCAAAAGGAAGCATCCAACGCCAACTGCACAAGAATAGGAACTCTGCAGGCCTGCCCTGTGGTTTCCGCACCTGAGCGGGTGGTCCCAGTTCTGGTGGAGGAGCTGGAATGGCATGAATTGTCAGTCGTGGGGGCAAGGGATGAGGCCGAGGAGTACGAGGCACCTGTCTTTCTGAAGCTGACGTTGGCTGTTGGTCTCGTGGGTTTTCCTGGGAGAAAGTGGACTCTGCTGCACCTGTGCTTCCTTCACCTTTTGATAAAAAAAAATCCACAGTTACAACAGACATTTGCAAGCCTTATAAATCAGCAGTCAGCCCTTTCCAGTTCCCTAAGTCAGTAACTTCGCTTCTGATCAATGCAGTGCCAGCAAAATAGAAGCCGAAGAATTAAGCACGTTTTTCCAACTTGGCCTTAGAACAGGATATATAAATGAATCCACCACTTGTGCTGGCTTTCAGTTTTCAATGTATCCCCTCCTACCCTGAAATAGGCAACAGGCAAAATGAAACCAAGGAGTGCGTTAAAGTGCTTTTTATATCATTTGCAAATGTTTTCCCTAAAAGCAAAATATGCAGGAAGATATAGCTAATGAAAGAGATGCCTCAAATATTCTTTCTTCCACATGCTGAAATTAGCAAGTAAGCCATACCACAGTTTTGAGAGTCGGCTGCTCTCTGGCTGCTTTCCCCTCTAGCGATGCTCTCTTCGGTTTCTGTACTGGGATCCATTCCATCACCACCCTGAAAGAGAAGATCGAAGGAGTCAAGTATAATAAAAAGTTGTCACTTCTTCAAAGCTTAAGACCCCCTTTAAAGTCACAAATGACCCCCCCCCACAATGCTTTATGCAATTCTCTAGCTCTCAAGCTATATACCTATTCGCAACATTAGGCCTAATCTCAGGTTGAAGATTATTTGTTCAAAGTAGACTTACCCCTCCTTTTGACTGAAAGAAGATGTTGGAATCATCAAAGCGAACCACAAAAAAGCAGGCCATTTAGTCAACACTGAAATTTGTCTGTTTACCTCTGCCTCGTCTGCTTCATATCCATCGTTCCCATCAACACTCCCAGTGCCTTCATTGCTATCTTCACCTTCATCTCCCATTCCTGTATCTTCATCATCATCATCTTCATCGTCCTCTTCCTCATCTTCATATTCCTATGAGAGCATTATTACAAAGCAGAATGGGTGGCGGGGGGTTAAACAAACTAATTTCAATTTGGCTTAGAATCTGTGATGTGTTAAGGACTTGTTACTAGAGTAATCAACCCAGCAAAACTTGTTACCCAGGTGAAGAATTTATTATCGCTGTAGAAAAGAGCAGGGAGTGTAAAGAACTGAGCATCTTTGCATGGGATTCTTTGCCATCATTTAGAGGCCTTGGCAGTCAGATGCTGAGAAGATAGTGCCCTTGGAGTGCCCATGCACTCACCTGCACGCTAGGAAGTGAGCTGAGCCAAGATCACGTCCACAAAAACTCCTGAATGCTTCTTCACACACAACCCACAAGTCATGTGTGTAGAAGCAGAACTCCAGTGGCACACCTGGCACATGGGTGGATAGTGCACAAACCGGCCTCAGGGACTGTTTCCTGCCGACACTCGGGTGAACACTCAGCAAAGGAGGACTTAAGGCAGAAAGGAAGGGGACTGAAATCTGGGGAACTGAGCTGAGGAAATCTGACAGATTCCCACCCTGAAACCGGATTCCTCACACATTGTTGGTTGCAACAACCCTCCAAAAGCTCCAGACTTCTTCTAGACCCCTAAGTACCTGTCATTAATCAAAAACTGAATGCAGCAACCTTGTCCATACCCTCAAAAAGTGCAAGAACAATTCCAAATGATTTAGGAATTGTTTGAGGTACTACATATTTGTTGGTATCTTGGAAAATATTAAATTATTTTATATATTTAATAATATACAAAATGATATTTTGTTACGTCTGAAGCTGAGCAATGCGGCAGGCTCAGTCAGTCCAAAGACGCACTTGCTAAAATCTTCTAAGTGGTGCAATGTCCAATTCTATGGTAAGTGTAAAAAGCCACAATTAAGGCTGATTGACACTCTACATCTAAAGAGGATTTCAGGCTGACAGACTGCCAAGATCCAGGAATTCATCAATGTCAAACAATCAATCTCCCCCCGCCAGCCACCCCATTTTTTGCACTGTCCAAGCTCTTTGGGTGGCTCACGGCACGGCAAAATGTAATCCTTTAAACCCTAAAATAGTGTGAAAAGCAAGTGATTTTTTTCAGGACCTGATAAAAAACAATACAGTGCCTGGGAGAACATTCCAGAGTTGGGGCCACAACTAAGGCGGCCTTCCTCTCCCTTGCTGCTCTTCTCCAGAGAAGAGCCTCAGTCATTGATCACAGCGCACCCAGTGCAGAAAGAGAAACGTTATTCTTTTACTCGATAAGGAAACCAAGTACACACTTCTGCTTCCCCATCATTCTCCTCCTCCTCCTCCTCTTCATCATCACTGTCGATCACAATGACATCATCCCTCTTGCCCTGGCCTTCCTGGGACGATGTCGTGTTCTGCTGATCAGACTGGAGAGGTCCCAGATCTATCGGGAGGGACTGAGATGTTTCCTCGCTATCCTCCAGGGGCGTGTACTCCCCCTGTGTCACACCCTGCAAGGCAAGGCAACGGTGATTACAGTCAGCGGATTCAGCCAAAACACCACCCACAGCAACCAGCAAAGGCAGAGTAGCCATACGAATACAGTTGCAGACTAGTTTGCTTTCTGAAACTGGGACTCTCTAAATTTAGTCCCAGTTGGTGAACAGGGCTGCTCCTGAAAATGGCGTATCGCTCCAGTCCATGAACACAAATTTCTCTGAATCCTGCCATGATTTATGTGACTGTGTCAGTGCCTCCAGAATGGTTTCTCTGGTTGGGGGAAGAGTTGCTTACTTCTCCAATGGAATCCTGTGAGTCTTGATTGTAGGTTTGAGCTTCCATTTCTCCATCTGTGCTCTCTTCTGCAGTTACTTCCTCCTGAAATAGGACGATTTGTTACATTAATCTATAGCTCTTGTTATGGGGAAATGTTCAGATCACCCATGAGGTACACCATGAACATCAGTGGTTTCCCAGTTTTTGTGCTGCTTTCCTGCCATTCTAAAATGCTGAAATACTCAGGTACCAGAAAGCGAGAGCTTTAAGCTAAAGTAAGCTGAGGGAGGTATTTTTTGGCTCCATCCCATTTGCCTTTCCCCCTCATCTCCACTCCCAAATATGACCCTTGAGAAAATCTCCAAAACTGAATTCAGGCCTTGGGCTGAAAAAGGTTCCATGCCCATTGTTTAGAACTTTAAAATCCTGCATTTTGAGGCAGCTTTCTTCGTCAGTCAGCCTAGTGGCAGCCCTCACGACCCAACACAACCACATCGCAGGCTGCCTTCTTCTTACGAACCTCCGGTCCAACCCTCTGTACGCTCCTTAGTTTTTTGGCAAGAGGGATATCAATCATTTCCTCCGGAATCTGCTCCGAGTTTTCCACGGTGCTATCATCTTCTTCCCGGGCACGCTTGGGTAGAGAAGAACTTGGAGTAGCTGAAACTTAAGCAGAGCACCTCGTTTTATTTGAGAACGTTACATCAAATGTCTAAGGGAAGAACCTATGGCTCCTGGACCTTATCTGCAGGTGGGGAAAGACCACATGGACTCTCCGCTCCAAGACTGGAGCCAGTGCAGTGGCCTCAGAAGTCAGAATGAGCCTCCGGATCCCCTTCCCTCAGCAGCACAGAAGGAACTGCCCTGGCAGCAGGGTTAATGGGGGTGTCTGGGGGCAGGAAGGAGCCTGGAACAGCCTGCTGTGAGGTCCTCTGATGCTCCTCCAGCCTCCTTCCATTCCATTCCCCTTGGAAGGACAGAAATCAGCACCCAGCAAAACTGCAGCCAAGAGCAGGGAAGTGGTAATCACCTCGGTCGCTTCTCCTGCTTTGCATGGGATTCTTGCACTCCTCCACATTTGGGAGCTTAGGGCATTCTGGAAGGATCACATCCCAAGAAACACAAAGCAACTCAGCAGTTAGACAACTATTCTTTTGAAGGGCATCTTGGAGCATGTATGTTTGAACTCAGAGAGAATACATTTAAAAATTATATGAGATGGAAGAGCTACCATTGGTACTTACACTTTTATAATCCATGGAAAGGCTAATTAATTTAAAAATGGTTTAAGCATCTGAACAGCCTCCCCCCCGCCCCAGCTGGTTTCATCAAGTCCTTTTCCCGAATCTGCACAACCCCAACTGGATTAAAGATGCCTTTCTTCTTCTTCTTCTATCGAGCTGGACCAACCTGTGCCAAACACGGCTGTTGAAGTAGAAGGCCTTTCCACCATCTGCGAGCTCTGCACCACCTCCAAAATGGCCGGGGAAGGGTCTTGAGCGGCTGGCTCTACCTGAGGGTGGCTCTGCTGAGTGGGCTGCACAAAAGCTGTGGCCTGGGTTTGCTGCTGCACTGTCAGGATGGGCTGGGAGAGGGAGGCCTGCACGTTGGGGCTCGTTGAGCGCACAGATCCGCTCGTGCTGCCGAAGACTGGCACGTGCTCCACTGGCCCTTCTGACTGCATTGCTGAAATGGGGATATTATAGCAGCTGTTTAGCTTTACATAATTTCGACGCGCTAACATTAAAATGCATGAGGAAGCCACAACCTTGGATTGGAATCTGCGATATCCAACCCTGAAAGATATTTCTTTTTGCTTCATTAAAAAAATAATAATAGGAAGTGGTACTGCTAAAGGGAGGAAGTGAGTAATATCCGGCCTAAAGAACATAGTTCTATCCAGTTCAGTGTCCTTTTTTTGAACAGCTCTCCCATCTGGATGTGATTTATCAAGCTGAATGTCTAGAGAGGGAGCTAATCCTGGCTGTCTATTATATTTAGGATTTATCAGAGAAGCAACTGATGCAGTATTAAGCATTGCCTGAGACTGCACATTTCAGCTGCACAGATATTAATATGCATATTCTTAATGAACAAGGAACATGATGAGCTTCAGATGGCAAGCTTATTCCACACGTACTGCAGTGTTATTCTTTTCCCGTGAGTATTCTAAAGCAACCTTCCCCAACCTGGTACCCTTCAGGTGCATTGGATTACAACTCCCATCACCCATGGGAGCAGATGATGGGAACTGTTGGCCAACAGCTCTGGAGGACACTAGACTGGCTAAGAGTGCTTTAAAGGGTCAAAAGTCTGACCAGCTATAGGAGGAAAAAAAATAACACAGATCAAGGCTTTTCAGGTTGGCTTGCTTCCCATTTTTCACCCGTTGAAGTTTTTAGAATTGCTTTCAAATGGATTTTTTGCAGCTTTGATAAAATTTGCTATTTCTGGGTAAGGTGTTACCCAGGATTTTATGAGAGTATTCAAGCCATGCAAAACCTGGATTTAGGAACACCCAAAGCAGAGAGATGTGAATTTCTGAGGGTAAGGAGCAGAGACTGAAAAAATGGGGGAGACATTTTGAAATTTTCTGGAATACTCTGGAAAGTATGGGAGGTACTGAAAAGGCTTTTGAGGGCTTCCCACTATTTCCATGCTATCACACCTAAGCACCATACTATGAGACTGATATCTTTATGCTGCATCTCAAATTCAAATGCCATACAGCTTTTCTTCCTTTTAAGTGGTTGAAAGCTTCATAAACAGTACAGTCCGGACAGGCGGCCAACCCTTTTGGTTTTGACCGTTTCCTATAATCCCTTTCAAACTGCCCAACTACTGAAGAGCAAGTACTGATTTGTTGCAAGCGTCTAGACTGCCTTTTGATCTGAAATTACCTTCCTGGGTTTCCACCTGTGTTGTTGGCATAACTGTGGCCGTGGGTGTAGTTGTAGGGTTCGTCACCGTGGCAGGGGTAACCATTGGACGGATGCTGGCCCTTGGAGTCGATTTATTCCCAGCTATAGCTGGAGCTGCCACTTTGCTTGGGGTAGACACAACGGGAGTTGGTTTGATGTTAGCTGTTGGTGGATCTGAAGTGCTGGCACTAGAAAAAGTCAAAAGTCAGATGTCATTTGAAGCACATCACAGGGGCCATGATACAAATGTCTTCATTAGATGTATAAAATGCTGAGACTTCTCTCCAATTCCCACCCCCCTGCACTATTCTGAAGAAGCTGCAGGTTCCACACTTTGTCCCAGACTCTTGCAACAAACGCAAACCCAAGGCCTACCTAGGCCAGCATTCTGTTTCCACTGGGCAGGCCTCAAGCGGGACATGGGTGAACCCACACCCTCCCTCTTGTGCTGAGGATCAGACAGTGCAGGATTCCTCCTAGACTGCCATAGATTGCCTTCACAAGTTGTAGTCACTCATAGCCCTTTTCTCAGTGAGTGTCTAGTTCTTTTTCAAAGACACCCAACCAAAGAAAAGAGGAATGACCCTGGGAGGCATCAGAAGGAATTGGGATAGTAAAGGAAAGGAGAACTCACATTCCTCTGTCACCTGCGGCAGGTGTTGATTTAAGGGTGATTTGTCTCTGTTGCTCTGGAGCCTAAGGGATAAAATTCTTTGGTGAGCCACTGGAAACAGTACTTCAGCAGAAATGAAATAGCTATCCAGTCTTGCACTCTACTGAACGGTCACTGCAGCATTTACATATGGGTATACAAATATTTTACACTGCTATTAATATAGTATTTATACTGCCTTCTTTGCTAAAGAAGCTGTCAGGGAAGATAGCAGGCCAATGCCTGACAGCTGGGCTTATCCAAGCTACTTTTACTCATTTAAAACTGGACAGATGAATCCGCTGCGTCAAACGGTTCCTATCACTCCATCCCTCCTCTCACACACCCGCAGTTCCATAGAGTAGGAGGCTGATAGCAGCAAATGCTGCAGTGGAAGTCCCATTTCGTGGATGGGCGCTTGAGGCTCCCCTCTAACAGGCTCCCGTAGCCACAAACAGCCCACCTTATTGGTAGATTCGGCAGGCTCATCGCGCTGCTCATGATGCCGCTCTTGCTGTTCCCGCAGCTCTCTCTCCAGGCGGCAAATGCGGCCCTCATACTGGGATTTCAGCGCACTCATTCGAACCTCCATCTCCGACTTCTGCTCCTCCAAGGTGCTGCTCTTTTGCTTCAACTCCTCATTTTCTTTAGTCAGCTGTTCTTTTGCTCCTGAACAAAAACAGAGCAAACCAAAATCAAAACCGGAAGGGTCGGGCTCTTCAGTGAAGAGCTGCTTGCCAAATAACTTGAGAAAGACATCTGGGAACAGACCTCTGGGGAAGAACTAATTATAAAGCACCCCAGATATATATTTTAATGTCGCATTTTTTCTCTTCTCTACAGGCAGGACCAAACTATACATTCTTGTCTGGTTCAGCCTCCAACTGCTGGGCTTTCTTGAATGTAGGCCCCGATGCTAACAGCAACTGCTCTCCATATTCCTAGAATAGGTCGTTTGCTGCACGTAGGTGGGGCTACCTCAACTTCCATTCCCTCTAGGGCAGGAGTACCTCCCAGTTCTGGCCCTGCCTATACCAAAAGAGCAGAATCATGTCAGGCCTATGCCATGAATCTGATGCAGGTCCTTTTCTCATCTCCTTCCAGCATGTAACTGAAAGAGAAGCTACAACCATTCTCAATGCTGTGAGGGAGGAGGACAAATTCTCGGTTCTTCTATTGAGAGAGGAACAGCATCTAATGCATGGCTATGCAAAGGGCTTGCAGGCTCACCTCGAACATGTGGCTAGGCCTATCCCGTACTTATTACAACAGCAGCTAAAGATGGAATGTTTGTGCATGCGGACAAGTGGGACTTCTTAACTACCACTTTCTTAGTCCATTTCACAAATTCGATGAGAAGTGTTCTTGCTTCTGGAAGTCTGTGCTAAAGCAGGCTGATGGGCTGATGAAAAGGTGTGGAGGGGCTCGCCCTTATTGCAGAAACCAACTACAGATGATGGCCCTTTTGGAATTCAAGAGCCCACCTGTCAATTGGTGAATCCTCTGCTTGGCAGCCAAAAGTGTCTTCTTAGTCTTCTCTTCCTTTTCAGCCACCTGTTGCCTGAGCTGCTCTTCTTGGGATGTTTTTTCCTGCAAATCTTGATGGAGACGGGACACCTCTGACTGCAGCTGGGTTACCTGTTCCTGAAGATTTTTTAATTCAGTTTCCTTCTCTCCTAAAGTCTACAAAAGATGCCAAGACTTTAGGATACCAAGCTGTCATAAATGTTGCCACCCCACAACTGAAGCCTTCTGGGCAGTTTACGGCACACCATAAAAACAAGGCAATAAAATACAATACAAACATCCTTAAAATAAATTTTAAAAGGCTAAAACATACAGCAAAGAATGACCCTGTGAAGACCTGCTTTTCCAACCATTGCATTACAAGCAGTGTGAATTTTTCAGGTGAAGATCTTACACGATCCATGGATCTTAAAGGCAGAAAAGTCTTTGCCAATGATCAGTGTATTATGTCAGGATCATTTCGTCCTGTGGTGCTACATATGCTAAGGTATGTTTGGAATGGACTCCATGGCAATTTCCAGTATTATTGGATTTGCAACCTACACTTTCTACAAGAAAACAGGGTGACTTGGTCAAACTTCCCAGGCAAGTTAAGATAGGAGCTTCAGCCTCCATGATTCAGCAAGACCTCCCACTTCTGACGTGCTAATTTATTAATCACTTTAATCTGTACATCAGAAAGAGCAAGAGGAAAGAAAAAACCTTTTGTAAATTTTCCATCTGCCCCTCCAAGGCTTTCAGCTTCATCTCAGCTTGTGACAGAGCCTCTTTCGCTTCTTGGACTTCCTTATCTGAAGCATGGGACTCTTGCTCCTCTAAGAAAGGCTGGGTCGATGTTTCTGCAAGGACCTAAAATTTCAAACCGTTAACGTCAAGTGCTGCAGTATTGCGCGTGCCACTAAGTTAAAAAAAAATCCCACCAACACGCAACATAGCTACACAGTGCATTTGTTTCTAAATACTGCCAAGAAATACCTTTTCAGTAATTCTAACTTCAGCAATATGTGAAGTTTATTTTAATGGCGGAGCCACAAAAATCTAACAGCTTGATTAAAATAGCAGTAACTATGGATACCAATCCAAAAACTAGCAGATTTTAATTCTCTAGGTTCAAAACTGACCTTGTCATGCTGGGCTTTCAGCTCTTCATACTGAGTCTTGTATCTGCGTCCAATTTTCTTGACCTGAGTTATTGTTCTAACTTTGTCTTGGATGTCAGCCACTTTCATTTCTAACTCCTTTTGAAGGGCTTCCTTTTCAGTTTTTGTTTTCGTCAGATCTTCTCGGAGGGTTTGGATCAGATTCTGACTTGTGGTGAGGGATGCGTTTGACCTTAACATAAATGGAAAGAGCTGCATCAGAAGAGGAATTGCAACTTTAAAGGTGACCCTCCTTTCTTCAGCCAGTGGTTCAAAAGCTAGTCTCAAGTGATGCTGGCGGCCAGAAAATTCCATACAAATCAAACGGGATAGCTGGTGCCCTAGTTCGTGGGTGAGTTCACTGGCAGAGAGCCAATGTGACACAGTGGCTGGGACCTGGGAGATCTGCATTCTGTTGACCACTTGGCCCTGAATTCCACTGGGTGACTTTGGGCCTACTCCTGACTCTCAGCCTAATCTCAGCACAAGGTTGTTGCAAGGATGAAATGGAGATGAGGATTATGCACAGCTTTGGGTTTCTTGCAGGCAAAAAAGCCAGGAGATACATGCAATATAAACTCAAATCACCCAAGGGGTTTCCACATTCCACCTTCCTACTACAGACTTTGCGACTGTCCCCTGCACCTCCCACTCAAGCTACTCCTTTGGGCTGAGGGATCTTCTGGAAGAGCACGTGATGGGACATCAGGAAATCTGGAGCATCCACAGGGCAGCTTATACCAAAGGAAGTGGCTTTCACCTGACTTCTTCAGGTACCAGCTGTGAAGACTGAGTGAGAGTGCCAGCAACTGCATGGGGTCTTGGCTGAGGCTATTTATTTATTTATTAAAACATTTTTATGCTGCCCCATTCGCCGAAGCCTCGGGGCGGCTTACAACAATAAGTTAAAAAAATAATTATAATATTAAATTAAAAAAAAATATAAACATTAGGTTAAAAATACAAAAATACCAATATAAAATAAGCCGCCCTGGCCAGATAAAATCCAATAATATTAACAGTTAAAATGCCGCTTAAATAAAAAGGTCTTCGCCTGGCGCCAAAAAACAAATAACGACTTTACCCAACCTGACTAGCAGAGATCACAGAGATGTGGAAAAATACTGGAATCCAGGAAGTTTTGGGGACTGCACCTAGGTCTGATGCCACGATGTAGACGCCCTTCCTTAAATGAGACCACAGTCCCATCAGCAAGGGAGTGAGATCACGTAAGGACAGGATCTTATGCCAGCTGAGCTTGTTGCCAATGCTGGTCATCAATGGCCAGCCCCACCAATTATGCCCTGCAAGCTTTGGTCTGCTCCTAAAAGCACTAAATTACCATTCTCCAAGCCCTAAAAACCTGCCGCAGAATAAAATTGGTGAGTCTGGCTACATGTAAAAGGATTCTTTCCTAGATCTACAACTGCATGAAAAAAGGATGAGCCCTTTATCACAATTAAAAACACCACATTGCAGTGTCTTGTGACAGGCTGCTCCACAAGATCTTGATGCTGTTTATAACTGTTTCACATTAACTTGCCAATGCATTTGAAAAAGAGAGGTGGAAACAATAAGGAGGGCTTAATAGGAAAGGAACACGTCCATGAATACTAATCATTTTATTAACTTTAATATAGAATGAGAACAAGAAGAATTCAGCGATCATTTCAAATAAATATATGAATATACAGTAAGCCTGTACCTAAATCAACATACATTCAAAATTGACAGCTACAGGAGGTATGTTCAAATGCAACCAAAGCAAGTAGATCTTAGTAATTTATTCAGATTATGCAGAAGATGAAAGATCATCTTTTCTATCAGCACACATATCACTGCATTAATTCTCCCCCAGCTTACAACCTTTTCCCCGTACCTTGCAATTTCTGCTTTCAGTCGACCTATTTCTTCACTCATTTGCTGTATGCGTTTAGTGTTCACCTCTTTCTCTGAAAGAAGCTTCCGATACTCTTCAACTTCTGTATCTTTTTGTTGGCTCAACAGGTGCTGGAGGAAGATAATGAACAATCGTAGCCTCAGCTCTCAAAAAAATGGAGGAAGGGTTTGTTTCACAGTGGTTCACAATCTGTATTTCAGATTGTGGTAGAATATATAAGGGGATTCTAATGGTATTAATCAATACAAATTGGTTTGAATGACAATGGTGTTTTAAATTAATTTTATCTGGTATCTTACCTTAATTTTTATTTTTTTCTTAACTTTTGTTAACCACAAGGAACCCCTTGGCTATCAGGCAGCATAAAAAGGAATTAAATGCTTGAGCATTAAAAAAATGTCCTTTTCAGATGCTGCAACCCAATGCCAGATGCAAGCGTGACTAAATGGGAGCATCTGAATTCATGGACTTGAATCAAGAGAGTATAAGCACATCCAAAGGCTAGCCTTTGCTCAAGTGAGAGTTTTTCTGCCTTTCCTTTGAACAGCAGATCTGACACACCACATCAGCAACTGCTTCCAAATTCTGCTCCACTTCGAAAACAGCTTGCCGTGCGGCAGAGAACGCTGCAGTTGAATGAAAACAAGGCAAGGCTACGACTTGCTACTGGATGAAGGGACTCCATTCACACTAAGACAAAAGGAAACAAGCATGCCTACTGGCTTATTCCACCCAATGCGCAAGCATCAGTGCCAGACTGCCTATGTTATCAAACAGCTTTTCTTTAAGCCTGCAAAGGACCAAAAATTAATATTTAACCTCTTCACTGGTCTCCTTCCGTCAAATGGTTCTGTAAAGTTTCAAATGCTCCCCTTCCTGCTTTTATTTGCCAATATCCAAGCAAATGTGGAGTTACATTTGCTCATAATCTTAGGTTATAGCTATTAGCTACACTGTGTTAACTTTTCTTGTTCCTCAGGCACTTAAGTACATTCCCAGCCATCTTTGGTACGGACCTGATCATTTTACCATCTATGCTGAGGCTCTGCAAAAGCAAACAGTGCCAGTGTACAAGAAAAGCTCACCTGGGTTCGGGCCTTCCAGCGTTTGACATCTTCTTCCAACAGCTTCTTCTCTGCCTGAAGCATGCCACTCTTCTCACTCAGCTCAGCATTCGACTCTTGCAATGGCAAGATATCTGCTTCCAGCTTGCGAACCTGAAGTCATAATTTTTGGATAAGTTCCTAGCTGAGTTTGTTTCCTGGCTTAGTCCAAACCTTTCCATGTAGATTTGTCTTGCCTCAGGGAATGAATAGCCCCTTACTAAGACATTTCTAAATATTTCCTTGTTTTCTGGATAGATAATGTGTCGATGACACATCCAATGATAGATGACACAGGGGCAGCTAGGTTTGAATTTTAAGCAGATTTCAAAAGTGCCCATTTTGTTCAAGCATAATTGCCTTCAACAATCAAATCTCTTTAAGTCTCCAGAACTTAAAGAGAACTTAAGGAGAACGACCGTTTCACTAAATGTCAACCGTTTTCTGATCTGAATGAAAATCACAAATTGCATCAATGCATCTAATTGACGGGACTGATCTGGGGAGCTGGATTTAGGGCTTGAACGCTAAATTTAAATCAACACTGACTTTTGCTTGCATCTGCTGCAGCTCCTGCTCCAGTCGTTCCTTCTCTTCCCTCAGCATCTTGTTAGTTTCTATCACAACATTCATGGTCTCCGTCTTCTTCATCAGTTCTTCATGCTGAGCAATTGTTTTTGCTGTCACCTAAATTCAAAACATTACTGTAATCCAAATGTTAAATACAATACCTCGTTTTTCAGCTTAGATGCACCCAGAGGGTCATTACAGTTCTTTGAAAAATTACTAGTGCCATCTTAGTACACCTGTTTCCATAAATCCCTACCAGATCACTTCAGGTCATCAATGGAAGCCGTCCTTTGTGAGCCTCCCCCAAATGAGAGGTGTGTGTGTGTGTGTGTGTGTGTGGGGGGGGGGTTAACAGGGAAAAGGGCTTCTCTGCTGTTGCACCCCATTTTTGGAGGTATGACTGGCACCCACTTTATCTTGCTTTCGGCACCAAGTTAAGAGTTTTTAATTTAATATTTGTTTATAAATTATGAGTTATCGGTCTTGCTGCTGCTTTATTGTTGTATAGCTTTACTGCCTTACTGATTAGCTATTATTGTCATCTATTTTTATCTCTATCATTGTTATGATTGCACTGTGTGTCGCCCAAAGAGCCTTCTGCCTATGGGACAGCATATAAATGCAATCAATCAATCAGTCAATCAATCAGTCAATCAATCAGTCAATCAATCAATCAAATTGAATCAGCAATGTTACATTTCAAGTGCATAAACTGTGCCTGAAATGTGTGACACACCAGGCTCAAAGCACTGATTTAATCTAAGCATTTCTCCTGGCTTAGTTTTAAAGAACTATTCTGCACAGGGAGATGGCTCAAATTCTTATGAAATAACCATAGTAGTACATCTCAAACCAGAGCAGGAGTTTTCCCCAGATATTACCAGCAATGTGAGCAGTATGTAAACTGGACGTCTGCCAATATGATGCAAAGTTTGCTAGATGACACTCCAAGTCAATATAAAAGGACAATACTCCAGTTCACTTCGAACAACAGGAGCTGTGAGCGTGTGTCTCCGTACCTGCACCTTCTCTCTCTCTGCGTTCAGACTCTCCTGCAGCTCGTGAAGCTCCCTTTCCAAATGGTCTACCCTCTGACGGTAACGCAGGCTCTCCACTTGGGCTACCTCGAACCTTGTTTCAGCAATCTCCTTTTCTCTACGTATGAATCTATGGTGGGAAGAAATGATAAGGAGAGGCGCCTCAAGTTGCTAACTTTAAAAGGAAATCAAACAACATGGTACGTGGCTGGCTGATGTTGAGATTTGCCTTTGCCACTTTCAAGCAAAGAGGTCAAATGCGGACATAGTGTGGAATCATGGTCTTAGAATCAGAAGCATGAGGATGGGCTGCTGCATGTGTGTGTGTGAGAGAGAGAGAATGAATGAGAACAAGTGCATATGTATGTTAACCATGCTAGTCTTGTTAGGACTTAAACTAGATTATGAAATGGAGTTTACAAGCAACCTTCTATTGGTATTAGTAATTGTCACATAAACGCTCAAGCAGGATAGACAGCAAACAGAATAGGGCATAAGTGAAAGAAGAAGGAACACACAATCCCTCCATCTCTTCCCAAGCTTTAGAATAGGGTTGCTCTGAACAAGTGGACCACTCCACCTCTTCCCAAACTTCCCACCTTCATGTTGCCAAAACCCTGATTTCAGAAGACTGAGCATCTCACAGATAACCCGCAAAGCAGGGTATATACCTGGTCCCATTCGAACATCAACTGAACCTTTTTAAAAATCAGATCAACATACCTAAGAATTTCCACCATCTGTTCTTGTGATTTTCCTTCTTCATTAAGGGGGACATTTAATGCCCCTGGCATGCCTTCCTTCACTGACGACATCATCTTGTCACTTAGTGTTTCTAGCTGCTCAAGCAAAAGTCGGTTCTGTTTTTCTAAGTCTTTGCAGCGAGATCCCAGCTTTGTAGCTTCATCCTACCAAAGATGATGAGAGTTGGGCACCTCAGAAACTTTAAAAACCCTGACTTCAAAGGCTATATGCTTTGCTTAAATTCATGTGAGACAGTGCAGCCAACCGCCGCCCCCCAAAAAACCAAGATACCTTTAACATTCTCTCTCGCTCCCCCCATGAAGCAATGCTTTCTCGCAATGTGGTATCTGCTTTCTGTGCTGTTTCCTCCAAGTGCTGCTTTATTGCAGAATTCTTAGCAATCTGCTCTTTAGCAGCCTGTAAGGCCTCCACATCCGAGGCATGAAGCATCAGCTCCCGTTCGTATTTATTCTGTGCTTCTGCAGCGATCTTGGCCTGTAAGAAGCAATGAACACCTGACTGTTTCAGAAACACAGTAGTTTCCTTTCTATCTAGAGCAGTTTCCTAGCTCTAGAAAGTTATTTCTTTCTGGCGACTGGAGTCATGTGCAGACATATCAGGGAGGAAGCAAACACCATTTCCAGGAGTTCTGATGCTTTCCCTACAATTGAGATACACGTGTTTTTTCAAGGTGGAAGAAAATAATGGGGAGCAGCTTTCTCAAAGGTGCACAGGAAAATAATTAAGAAAGGTTCCTCTTAAGAAACATACACAGAGATACTCCAAACAACCAAACAGGCTACAATCCAACGTTGTGTGTGTGTACGAGCTCCATAATTATCACCATTTACTCTGAGTGCAGGAAAAGGCTGATTTGATTCTTTGCACCAAGGATACAGAATTATCTTCTCTATTCTTGCTGACATATGGGTTGAAATAATCTTGAAATAGCAACATCTTTTAAAATTTCAGAAAAATGAAAAAGAGATTCAAGAGAAACAAAACCAGAGCGGCCTCTTAGGATCTCCTTTTACCATGCTCAGAAGCTCCATTAGATTGATTTATTTTTGCGGCAAAAGGACACTTGTTGCGCAAGTTGACAAGATCCCAGGCAAAGTAGTAGCATTCCAATGTCTTTCTAACAAAGGAATACAATCCCAGCAGATCCCGTTTTCAGTGACTGCACACCACCATGTGGCCATAAAAGTAACATTCAATTAGGCTGAATGTTTAGGCTTTAGGCTGCTAGCATAGAAGCAATGCTAGAGGACTGAAATGTCATTCGGAGTTTATGGAAATCATTGCCATAAAGATCAAGCTAATATAAAACTACTCAGATGGACAGATGAGCTACGTCCTTCCCCTCGACAGGACTTCGAAACTTACCTGCTCCTGGCAATCCCGTTTTGCTTGCTGCTCATTGCTAAGAGCTGTGTTTGCTCTCTGAAGAGCATCCTGGACTTCGGCCTTCATACTGGAGAGACTTTTCTTCAGCTCAGAAAGCTGCACATGGAACATCAAGTATCAAACATTCAAGACTTTGTGAAAATTATGTTTTAAAGTTACTGTTGATAGGAATGAGAAGCTGCAGATTTGTACGTAGTTGTAACTGCACTGTGGATTTTTTTAAAATTCAAGGCCTTTATTTCTGCAGCAACTAGATTTTCTTTTTCAAAAGCTGAGTCTCAATGCTGTGGTCACTTGCCCTCAGACTGTCTCAAACTCACAGCGATGCTATGGAGGAAAGCCCTCCAAAAGGTTCTATCCACGACAGCCCTGCTTAGCTGTTTAAAATTCAAGGCTGTAGCTTCCTTTATGGAGGCGATCCGGCTCTCCATATGACGCCCTTAAAACACCTGGATCACATACATTCACCTAACCATGCTCTTCAATTGCCTGAAATTCCTTCTACCATCACTAACTGGTGCTTGTCATCACGCACTTTACAGAGAACAAGATTTCAAAAGGTTACTTGATAAACTCATTGCATGGATCCAGCATTTCAGCTTTTTATTTACAGGTCTGAGTCCAATACTCATTATGCTGCTTTATAGGAACCTTGTTCAAACAGGCTCAGATGTAATCCAGTGAAGACTTCTATCAGAGACACAGGGAGGGACAATTTTTCAGGGATTCCTCATCTCCCCTGCTGCCCACCCCGCAATCATAAAATTTACTCCGGAGGGTTGTGAGAGCAGGGCTGAAATGGCATGGAATGCTGGGGAAAAAGAAAAGTATCAAAACCCACATCCAAACTTCCCATTCTTCTGATGGAAGTTTCCACTGCATCAAAGAGCCATTCCTCAACTGAGGAACATGAACTAGATACCAAACAGGTTTCTGAACAAAACATTCCAGAATGAAAGCCTCTCAGCATTGCTTTACACAAAAACAGGCAGCAGTGCCTCATCTACTTCTTAATTACTGGCGGGTCAGTGATTCTGCTGCAAAGCTGTGTTGCCATGTTGTAGAACATCAGAAGCTGAAGAATAAGCAATGGGCTCATAATACTCAAATACTAAAATGAGCATGTAACTGGATCCATGTGCCCAAGGGACTTATGGAATGTATTTCAAGAACAGCAGCATCCCACTCACCCTGAAGATATATGGCAAAGGGCTCCTAAAACCAGGGCTTGCAAAAACAAGCAGCAGCTTGGCAGAGGTGCCTGCACTCAATAGTTCATTAAACACGCCATTCTAGATATGCATGAGGCCACGTGCCCACCTGAAGGAACACTTTAGATCTTGGCCATGTTCTTTTGCTACCTACAGTGGAAAAAAGTCGAGGGCAGAGAAAGCCACACTGCTGTACCTGCTGTTCCATGTTTTCTATAGATTTACGCTTGTCATCCTGAAGTTCTTGCTTTTCCTTCTCTGCCTCCATCAGTTTCTTTTCAAGCTGGGACTGATATTCAGACGACTCCTTCAAGCGGGCTTCAACAGCGGCCCGAACTTCCTCTGTCACCTGCACAGTGAGATCAAGCCAGTTTGAAATGCAAGCTCTGTCAGCAGACACATGCACGAGCACCCTCATATGCTCATCTATCCTTTTTTTTGGGTGAGGGGCAAGCACACTTGAGATTATGATTTTGAAATCCAAGCCAATGCCCAAATTCTGTCAGATCAGCCCCTGCCCCTCTCATTTTGAGCAGGTTAAATACTGTTTGGCACTAACAGACCAAGCTGGTAGCTTAAGTAACTTGTTCTAAGGCTAAGGCCTGTCCAAGATACGCCTGGGTCAACAGCATCCTTACTACAGGTCCCTTACAGGGAAGATCCAAAGAGGAGGAAAACGCCAATAAAAACAAGAGATTTGCCACTGGTCATTAGTGGCAAACTACACAATCACTTGAGAGTGCTGATTAGGGTGATGTGGGTCACCGCTATAGCACCTGGCTCAGTTTTAATCCACTTTTGAAAAAGGGCACATACAGTATGTTGATTCTACTGATTCTATCCAGCAGAAAAGACGAACTCACAGATTTTAAAGGTCACCTACATCACAGCAGCGACTCAGAGGGCTTGGTATGCACTGAATCTCTATTGTGCACCGCAGCAAATGGAGGCGTGCAAGCAAATGGGGGACTTGTTTATTAATTAAAACATGTCTACTCAGTCTTTTTTGTCACTGACCTCCAAGTTGCTTACAAACAAAATGTGAAAGCAACCCATAAAATAAAAGTGGTACTCTGTTCTTCCAGAAAGACACAACATGAGAGCAAAAACTTTAAAGCAAAACAATTCTTTTAGCCCAAAGGCTCTCTTTCGAAAGCTACTTTCTGAATGCAGTGAGTTACACATGCAAAGCTCAGTGGCTCATGATCTCAAAGCTCATTTGACCACCTAGGGTCTGCAGTCAAGCTAGCCCTGTCTCAAAATAGCCCTGCGTATGTGAGCATGAGAGAGAGAGAGGGAGGAGGGAGAGAGGGAGGGAGGGAGAGACTGCAGCAGTTTCTCAAATGTGCAAATATGCCCATGGGTCCAAAAAGTCTGAAGGCCCAATCCTAAGACAATCAAGATCAGCATTTAGAACTGGCCCTGGAAGCAAACTGGTATTCAGTGTGTAGCTGAAACAGCACTGGAGCGGTATGATCAGAAAGGCTGGCACCAGGCAATAGTTGGGCTGTTCCATTTTGATGCAATGGTAGCTTCTGAACACTTGTTGACAGAACACATTACAGTAATCCAAAGTGGACATCACTAGACCCAGCCATGGTCATTCATGCCCTAAGTTCTCCTGGGAGAGAAGCAGCTGCATGTCCACCAAAGAACACCCCTGGCCATCGCTGCCACCCGGGCATCCTGGTGAAGTGCTGCTTTCAGAAGCACTCCCCAGCTTTGCCCTGGGTCTTAAGGGAGCTTTTTTAACTCCTGCCAGAGATCACAGCAAGAAAGCCTATTTACAAATGTGGGGCTTCAACACAGAAACAGAATTTCACATTGCAGTTATACAGCCCAGTTTTAATAGGATCATCACCTGCTTCTCTTTGTTAAGGGATTCTTCCAGGCTCACAACCATGGCTCGGTACTGCTCCACGTTACTTGTGGCAGTCTTCAGCCTTTCCTTCAAATCATTCACTTGTTCGTCGGACTGTCTTAATCGGCTCACAAGGTCATCCATATCCTCACTTGCACTAGTCTGACCTAAAAAATTAAGAACCATTACTTAAAATAATACTGGATCTATAACTACATATACTTAAGTACAAACACACAAACACACTTAGTTCTCTAATTCTCCTCTCCTCTCCTGGAGCTTGCCAAGTAAATATAATCAAGAACTTTAAATATTATATGCCCAGGGACTCCAGTGGAGTAGGAGGCGGCATATAAATGCAAAAATAGATAGATAAAATAAACGCCACAGCCACAAGCTCCAGCTGCGTCACTCTTAGAGCACCATAGGGAAATCCTACACTTCATACTTGCCTCACAAAAGAGCTCATATTTTTTAATCAGACTACATTAGATGCAAAGCTATGCTTTTTCAATCTATCCAGGGAGATACAGGCAAAGCAATCATAATAGAAGAAAGCTCTTTTCAACCTGAATTTAGAAAATGGATCAACTCACTTTTCAATATAAAATTCTCAAAACAAGAAACCAATTTTCACTACATAAACTACGGAACTCAGTATGTCAAGTGTATGTTCATTCTTGCACTAGTGTCACTCAGCTGAATGCAAACCAAGTTTTCCACACTTGTCTTCCAATTTAAAATCAGGGTGAAAAGTTACCAGGGAAATCATTTCCTATTGTTTTCAGGTAGCTCAACTAACAGTCTGCTCTTCAGCTGAACATCATGTAAACTTTTAAAAATTACTCGGCAATCTTGAAGGAACAAGTAGGCCAGGAGAAAATTAAGTACATAATGTTCAGAAAGCATTTTGCATAATTTTGTGGCACTTCAGCATTCCTTGGAGCAAGTTCCACTGACCTGTGGGCATAATGAATTTCAGCACTCTAGTTTTTATAATACTTTTGAAACAGGCTGTTTGCCTGTGTTTGCACAGCTTGAAAAACTTCTGAAGTGGCAGATACACCTATTGCTTACCTTCACCAGGAGTTCTTTGCAATGACTGGGAAGCTAACTGGGCCTCCATATTAAGAAGCTGCTGTTTCAAGGTTGCAACGTCCTTTTGGGCATTCTTCAGCAGTTCTTTCGTATTTGCATGAAGACTCATTTCAGTCTCGAGCTGTCTTTTTGCATCCAATAAATGAATCTGAAAACGAGCATGCAAACCTCATTTCAAAGACAGAGCAAGCAAAATTCATAACTCAACTGGAAGCTGAAGGTGTGTGGTGCATTTTTTCTGCATAAACCTTAGCCAAGGCTGAAGTACTGGTTTGGTGTCTTCTCTCAAAAGCCCACCAAGCACAGCATTTGATGATAAAATAATGCAAAAGCTGCCACTTTGTTTTCATCGCTTCTTTTTTAAATCCAGGAAGGCGGTAAAAAAGCTTAACTTACCAATCTTCCTGTTACAAGCTGTAAGCAGCAGAGAATCCAGATTTGATTAAAAACTGGTCTACCTTGGAAGCATCCAGCTTCCCATGACTGCTATTTGAAAGACTAGACTTTGTCCAGTATAAAGAAGGGGTGTTCAACCTCTTTCGAACAGAGGGCCGTGTTCCTCTCTCGATCAGAGGGTGGGTGGTGCAAAAGGGGTGAAGCCAAACTCCCAAAACTGAATAGGAAAAAGACCGCACAACGTTTGAGAAATCACTGAAGTAGGAATATTTAAGGGAAAAAATATGGGCCAAAGGAACAAGGCATGGACATCTATGGGACCCGATGGCTGAGCTGTGCCAGATCTGGTCCTGAGCCTAAAGTTCTCCACTCCCACTACAGAAGATCACCTAGAGGTGTTATGCACGTGCTTGACTCTTTGAAGGGAAGATTAGAAAGCCACAGAGGAGAGGCACCCTATGAAATACCAGAGCGACACAGAACTGGATTCATCCAGTGATCAGGACTCTTCTGGGAAATGGGTGGCAAGCCATATTAGAAAACGCCGTTCTCTAAGACGCTGTAAAGTGGCTTCGCAGATGCATGGGCCTTTGGTGGTCTTTCCTACATTCGATGAAGTTATAGAGTAGGCAGTGTTGAAGGAGGGGAAGAGAGGCCCGATTTTATACCACAAGCAGGCCCATGGGCAGGTTCTGGTTGCTCTCCACGGTGCCACAAACATCAGCTCCCTGAGGCAGCATTCAATTTACTACCATATTTGAGATCCACTCCAGCAGATTTTTTTTCTGGACTCCAAGACCCAGTTTAGGACACCTATGTGTCTTAGAAAACAGAACCCTTCCCACTGATCCCTAAGTGGAAGCAAGTGCTCCCAACCTCTGGAACCCAAGATACAAGCAAGTAAGGAAAATTGTCACAGACATTGGGCAGTACCCAAGACTGCTGCTAGGTCTCTGCTCAGACCGATCACTAGTCCAGCAGGAAGCAGCACCCTTTGCAAGCCCTTGAACAGTTTGCACAGTCTCAGAGTAGGCAAGTTCTACTGCAGCTTCCACACTTGGGAAACAGAGGAACTTTTCTGGACTTAGTTTCAGTTACTGGGCACATATAGGACATGCATAGATTCACTTGGAGGATTTGAAGAACTGAGTTCTGAATTAGAGTCTCTTCTAGTGTCCTGAACTAGGAATAAATACAGATTCATTTCTCTTCCTGTTCAAAGAATCGACTTTTATCTCTAGTACTTACATCTTGGTTTTTGGTGAGGGCATGCCTTTGCTCTGCCTCATTTTCCAGCTTCTTCTTCAGTTGAGCTATTTCATGCTCCAGCTTCTCTATTTGATTATTGAGCCTCTGCTGCGTTTCCGTCTCGGCCCTTTCCAGTATCACCTAGTAACAGGGATACATTTTACATGGTTCATTTCTGCCAAATCATGCTCAAAGGAAGGGAGCTCCTGGGTATTTTTTTTCCAAACCCTGTTTCCTTGTACAGAGTTAACAGAAATGTGAGAGGAACTTCTTGTGGTTCCAGAATAGTGCTCCCGCAAAGGGCAGAGGGGTGTGGGGAAAGGGGAGTGTGTATTAGCAAGCATACCTGAATAGACTGCAAGTTGGTAAGCAGCAGATTTTGACTCCTTTCTTTCACCATTAAAGATTCTTTTTGCTGAGTCAGACGAACCTCTGCCATTTTCAGGATATCTTTTTCTTTTTTCAAATTCTCTGCCCTGACCTTAAAAAAAGATGACATTTGATTCAGAGTTAATTAATTCAGTTCCAATAAAAATAAGAGAAGATATCTAAGTAAGTCTAGTTGCTTTGTTCCATCAAGTAGTCTTGACTTATGGTGACATTATGTGGCTTCCTTTATGGAGTTAATCCAGCTCATATATGGTCTTCTTTCCCTCTTCTGCCTTTGACTTGCCTAGCATGACGACTTTTTCCACTTATTAGTCTGAAATTTAAATTCATAGCAACATCCAGTCGCTTGAATACAAAAGGCCAAAACAGTTTAGACAGCTCAAGCATCTCCTAGGAACCCAAATACATTAACTAGCTTTATGAATGGAGATGAGCATGTGATTCTAGGATGCCAAATCCCCTCTGCTTCTTACAATTGCTGCGTTCCTACATTTCTAGCCATTCTTCTTCCAGGGAGCCCAGTTTACATAACGTCTCCCTTCTTGGCTGATGGGGTTTTGGACCTTCCCACTGTACCACATCCTCTCCACTGCACCATACTGGCTCTCCATCGAGCAGCTAAAGCAGCGGTCAGCAACATGGTGCCCACAGCTCCCAGTGCACCACTGACCACCCTTCTCAGCACCCACCCATGTGCTGCACTCCTCCCACTTTAAAAAAGAGTTTGCAAACGAATTTGCCAACACTTAGTATCATTTCAAAGGAAGGTGAGGACTCTTGTCTTCGTCTCCTGTGAAGGCCTCTAGACCCTATGTGGGGACCAGAGATACTGCCTGGAAAAGACAGAAGCTGGGGAACGGCAAGTTGATGCTTTCTTCTGCAATGCATTTTGTCCCCAAACAGGGGTGCTCGGGGCAGCAGGCCAAATTGCAAGGCATGCCAGTGGACCCAAAAAGGTTGCTCAAGAATCTGTACTCGACAAAAATAAATTGTGCTGGTCACCTCCGCCACCACTAGTTTTTCATTGGCCCCTCTCAGATCCTGAGTCATGGTGTTGATGATCTGCTCTTGCTTCTGAGTGGTCGCCGAAAGCTTCTGGATTCTCTCATGCAACGATGTTATTTCTCGCCGATATCCCTCCACGTTATCTTGCAGCATCTCATAGCTTTACAAGGAATTAACACAGGTAAGATTTGGTTTAGACTGAATCGGTGTTATGAAATCAAGACATCTCAAAAAGGTTGCACTAACGTCACAAAGGGAACACACACTTTAATGGGAGCGTTCAACAGGTTTTATGGTGGTGAAGTGATAAACTCACAGGCTGGATCGTGAGGTTTTACGGCATCCTCACTGCTAAACACCCCAAAAAGGCTGCTCAACACAAATACAGAGCAGGAGGAACAGGGAGGTGGCACCTGTTTCTGCCATTCATCCTGATCTGCATAGGATGCTTGCAAGCCTTCAGGTTCAGGGGCTTAGCAGCATCGAGAGGGCAAGCTGCACCCCGAAAGAAGCTGCACGTGACGAAAGCTGTCTTTTCAACTTAAAGGGAAAATCACAGCAATGTAAAAGGTGAAGCAAGGACCAGTAGATGGGTACAGGAATCAAACTGTCCTATCATATAATCAATGCTAGGGAATTGTGGCCTCCTGTCCTCCTCTAGTTTGAATATATCCAATCATTTGCTTATTAGCCCTAACAATGGTTGACTAGGCAGCAATTTGCAAGCCTGTTTCTACCTGTGGCCGAGATACAGAATGTATTCCCTCAATGCACAGAAGTGTTTCCACTTTCCTCCCTATCCAGAAGCCAGACATTCTCCCAAAGGCCCCTGTTGCGCGCACACACACACACACACACACCATTGGGGGGCCCTTCAGAAGGCCACTCTGTGAGATACAAGAGGCTGTTGCCGGGAAAAAATATCCCCACTTGCTTGGCATATATGGAAAGGTGCTCTAACCAAGCTTGCCTCGAGAACGGGAGGCAGGCCGGCATCGCCACTGCCTAGACTCAGGCGCCTCAGTCTGCCTTGTACAGAAGGCTTTTAGCAGGGTGCATTCATGCTGTCTTACCGCTTGGAGGCAAATTCCAGCTGGGTGGAAATCTTTGTATTTTGGGACCTCAGCTCGGTAACCTGTTCATGAAGCTTCTCATTTTGTTCATTCAGCAGTTTGTCATTCTCGGCTTTTTCTTTCTTATAGCTCTCAAAAAATTCCTGCAACTGTAGGGAGAGGTCTGTGTGTGAACACGCACTAACTAAGGTGAAGTAGAAAACTTCTGATTTTGTGCGTGCGGTAAGGGGACTTGGAGACGGTACCTGTTTAAGGGCAGCCTTTGCTTCTGCCATTTCTGCAGACTCAGTCACAGCTCCCGAAACTGGGGTCGATATGGCCTGGGGGGTGCCCGAGAGTCGTTTGGGGGTTGATGTCAGGGACATTTCCTCAGGTAGGCTGCTTGGAACTATGCAAGACAGAAAAGCATGATTTTCGAATCAGAGAGAAGAAAACAAGTATTTATTTAATTTATATCCCACCTTTTTCCTTTCTACAGAACCCAAAGTGGCTTATATCATTCTTCTCTGCCTGCTCTCAGTCTTATCCCCTCAACAAAACTGCTGTGGAAGAGGTTTGGGCTAAGTGTCTATGCCTGGCCCAAAGTCAGCCAATTGGCTCCATGGCTGAGTGGGGATGAGAACGCCCAAGCTTCTCCAATCAGCATCATGGCCTGCCTGTAATATCGTTGCAACCTACCTTGCAACGGAATGGCAACGCCGGTTGTCTGTGCCAACAAGATGCGATACATGTCCCGCTGGCGAACTATGGAGTCTACGAGCTGCATTTGGTGATGGCGTGACTCACGCAACTTTTCTAGTTCAGAGATCGCTTCATTCAGTTGGCTCTGCAGCTCAGAAAACCTGTCGTGGTAGGAAAGCAAATTCTGCTTGTTTCAAGGTAGACCGCCAAAGATATTTTTAAAGGCCATGTGTGGTCCAATGGACAGAATCTTGACTCAGAATTCAAAGGGGAGGTATCAGGTAGCTCCTCATCACAGCATGCTCAAAAGGGGTATGGATACAGCTTTAGAGATGCGCTCCCCCCCCCCCCGCACAAAAACTTTCATGCAGTGCTGCAGGTATTTCAGCGTCTCTCGTGGTCTTGAAATCTATGCTCTAAATTCAATCTAATTATAACTGAAGTGAATTCTGTGGGAATTCTAAGCATGAAAACAGATGACGGTATCTCAACTGAGAAACTTTTTGGAATAACGACTAGATACTTAAGGACCTGGAATAAGGACTGATGCAAAAAGAAAAAAGAATGGTAAAGTTATGGTCAGTCAGAAATCACTAACACCTTCTGAGTTGGATAAATGACATCAGTAGCTGCGAGCCGCGTGTATTCAAAGGTATTTAAAGGAGTTACACGTATGACCAGGACAAGAATAGTGCATTTGACAGTTGAACATTTAGCCATTAAAATATAAAATGCATCTCATCAAAACACTTAGAACACTACTATCAGCATGAGTAAAACCTGTTTTCTGACTGTCTAAACACACTAGTAAAGAAGGACGTACTTAGAAGAAGTGTTTTCCTGCTCCTCCTTCTCTTTAGCTTCACCCAACTCTCGAAGAGCCACCAAAAGGCGCTGATTTTGCTGCTGAAGTTCCTCAATGTTTCTGTAGGAGACCAAGTGCTGGCTTATGACTTCAGAGGAGCTGCTGATGTCAGCAGAGCTCACTTCTTCATCACGGATGACGTGATTGCCTCTGGCTTCTTCGAGTTCCATCAAAAGCACTCTTATCTTTAAAAAGAAAATAGACCATTCATATAAAAGAATGAAAGTTTCTAGTGCTCTGCGAGAATAGCAAAGGGGGATCACATCAAATAAAGATGCGAACTAAGGGTTCATTTGCTCCTGAGGGGGTTGTAGTTAGTTTATGCAATACCAAGGCTTACTCAAAGCACAGTTTATTGAAAAGTTTGGATGCATCTGAGTGAATAATGGTTTCACGAGAGGTGGAGAGGGGGAAAATACCCAGGTTTCTTTTGAACAAGATTGGCATGTTCAGTATTTTCTACAGTAGTGGTCGTTTCAATTTTGTTAAAAGCCTAGTCTGACTTACACAGCTGTTCTATACCTCTGGCTACTACATCGTGAGAACGTTTATTAATCAGATAGCCAAGCCTTTCACTTTCTGGACTCAGTCTCTTTTCTCAGTTATTTCTGCTAACTTGCTGCATATGAAGAACTCAGATTTTTTCTCTGACACATGCATGCACACACATATTTTGATCTTCCTGACCTGCACAGCATCATCTGATTTAGAGCAGAAATTCTGCTACAAAAGGTTCCCCAACTCTCTGGATATAAGGACTTGGCATGTGCCAGAATGGTTACTTTGTCTTTTACTTCCAAGAGAAACAGTTAATCAGGTCCAATGCTTAGAAGTATATTCCATCCCACAACTAACCTGTTGTGAAAGATCTTTGACTTGGATTTCAAGTCTCTGGTTCTCTCTTTCCAGCACAGAAGCTCGCTTGTTTGCTTTATCAGCGCCTTCTTGCAAGCGCTGGATTTCCTGTAAGCCAAAATCATGCAGTTCTTAAAACAGAAAATTGACTGATACATTCAAACCATTCATCAAGAACAGCTAAGGCGATAAAGCAGATAGGCCTCTGCTGTATTACCTCAACAAATCAGTATTATTTTTCAAAGTTGTTAACTATAATAAAACAATAAAATCTGTCTAAAGCCATTCTTAAAGTAATTAAATTAAAAGCAGCAAAACAGAGGTCCTAGCAAGGTCTAGCAACCAACATCAGATTGAAAGGAAGCACATTAGGCTGCCCAAGGAATGTCATCGGGGAAGAAGGCAGAGGCACCACACACAGAAACCAGGGTTTTGCTCCAGGGCAGCTCCAAGGAGACCAACCCATCAGCAGAATTACGCAGCAGGGCATCCTCAGTCGGTACCAGATTTGGGGAGGGTACAATTTGGAGTCAGTGCATCACCCACTCATCAAAGCAGGCCACTGCTAAGGCTCAATAAAGAGAAAACTGTTGTCTTACCTGTGGCAAATATATTACTAGCATGTCACAAACAGGCTAGAACACAAGGATGTACACAGTAAATATGTTCCTTTGGGGCAGCATTTAAATATGTGAACTCCACTTGCAGTCTGCAGTGGTAAAGGCCAGTCCAAGCTGTACCATGAGATCCAGCCAATTGTGGAGCACAGGCCTAGTATGCACAAGTTTGGTTATCTGCTACAATTTTACCTGATACGTTGTGGGCATGGGATGAAAAAGCAGCATAATTACAGGACTTTAACTGTCCGTGTGATTTATATCAGAGATCAGAAATGGATGGCAAGCTCTAGAACTTTCTTGAGGGATTACTTTTACATAAAAAAAAAACCTCACTGGTTAAAAACCACAAGCAAAATTTATCAGGGCATGTTTAAAACAGATATTTGATTTCAAATCCTAACTTCAGTTAGGGTTTATACTAACCTTCATAGCTTGCTCCAGCTTAGCAGAAAGACTCGCTACAGCTTTTTGTGAACGCTCGTATTCCTCACGCTGACGCTTCAAAATGGGTGCTTTGGCTTCTACTTCCTGCACTATTTCATCCAAGTACTTATTAATCCTTTTATTCTCTAATTTTTCCAGCAGTAGTTGATCCTGTGCTTCTATGTATGCATTGTAAAGCTGTGTTGGCAGACAAAAGCAAAAGAATAACTGACGGATCCAATATGCTAGCTAAAAAGGACAAGAAGCAATGTATCATCTGGTACAGTTTAGCTAGGCTTGCAGTAGCCCTGTCTCAGCATGGGTCCAGCTACCCCTTTACCATTAACGTTTCTGAAGAATTCGTCAGACAGAACAGCCCCCATTTGTGTGGTTGTGTCAACTGCATGCCACCACTCCCACCCTCCAAACGCAGGGGGCGATTGCACGGAAAAATAGATGGAAAGGCAGGAGCAAAGTGTGGCCAGCACGAAGGCAAAAACAAAGCAGAGTGGAACGGAGGCTCCAGGAAAACTAGTTACAGCCGCAGGGTCTCCAGTGGACCACCCGTCCAGCAAAAGCAAAATACATCTGTGACAAAAGTGCAGCTTGCACAGGAATCCTGCAACGCGCCTGTGCAACAGCAGCACTCATTCATGTGCATGAGTCAGTGCGCTGAACTCAACGGGGCATGCATACCTGCACGTCAGAGCAGGGTTTTGTCCTTTCTTCGCCAGTCATCTCAACTGCGGCAATAAAGATGACCGCCATCTTTGCAAACAGTTACTCCGTAATGCTGCCATCAGAGATCAAGCGCACAGATTCTGTGCAACACACCCCTTCCTTCACCTCAACAGACTGTGCTCAGTGAAATTTTATGGGGAGAACCCAGAGTTTTCCTAGAAGGATATTCATTTCAGAATTGCCCCAAGGGCATGGAACTGTGAGCCCACACGCAAAGACGCTTGAACCTCCAATTCAACCAGGACTGGCGGACAAACCCCTACCTCTGTTAACTTCATGCCAGGTTTGACCACCTTTGCAACTGCAGCAGCGGTAGGAGACATGGCTGCAAGCTCGTCCTCGGACAGGATGGCCCCTGGAAAAGAAAACGGCCATCACAGATCTTTTTATAAAATGACTGCCTGTACATTAAGCAAACCAAATACAAAGGCTCTGAATTATGCGCGTTACTTTAATTAACACATCGACTGTGTTCGAGCGCCGTGCACAAGTTTAACAAAATGTCCACAGGCAAGACTTTCATCCTCCCAACTAGTCCATGCACTACTCTCTCGGGTCTGGAAACTTCCTTCAATCTTCAGTGGACTAAAGCTTGCCTTGTTGTTGGAATTTCTGCTTAACATTAGCTGTGATTGATTTAAGCTAGTTTCAGAAACGACTATTTGACATGGATGCTCTTTAAATCAGATGTAATTAATGTTCAGCAGTTTGTTAGTTCAGATGATACAAGAAAGTGTGATTAACCAAAAACAAGAGCAAAAACTTCTGAATTGCTCTTCAAGGCCAAACACCAGAAGGGTTGTTCACATTTCACTAATCATTCACTGAGATATTTGAATGCAGTCAGTGAGAAATCCAGGTATGACCAATCTCTGAATGTGCTTCAGAGTTTTATTTAATTTGTTTCTAAGCCATCAAAAAATTGCAGACTGGAATTACATGGCCAAAGCAATAAAAGCAAAGCGATAAACAGATTGCTCAAGAAAGCCATTACTAGATCCAGAAAATTATATTCAAGGAAAAATAATATTCCACCTATATCATCCAATATTAATATAAAACCAACTGGTTTTCAGAAGAGCTTTGGATATGGATTTCCAAATCCCGTAACAGTACAATCTATGCTTAATCTTAATCAAGTCTATTTCCTAGCTGTTAACAAACCTTTGCGCTTGGTGGCTGAAACCAAATCATTTGCATTGTCCAACTCTTTCTCCAACTTGCTGATCTTTTCCTTTAGTTCTTTTTCCATGGCAGCCTTTGCTTGTTCCATCTCGGCTAAACGGTCCTGTGTTTCTTTATTAGCTGAGATAGGTAGAAAAACACATTGTGCAGGTGTTTTGAGCTTAACGCTACTGAATGCATTCTGCAGAAAACCATAAGGCTGCAAGATAATATCCCATATCTTTAGCAACGTAGGGGTCAGGGACGGGGAAACTCTGGCTCACTAAACCAGTCCATCTGGCCCACTGGGCATCAACTGAGCCTGGCATGCTCTTCTCTAAAGTCTCCTCTGTGGCTAGCAGAGAAGTGAACATCTGCTGTTATCTCTAATGCCCGGATGGAAATAACAGTGGGGAGTTCCCCACTGCACGCCATTCATCCTCAAAACTGGGAAGGAAAGTGACATAGCGGAACCTGAGTGGTTGGAGTTGAGAACCAGGGTAGCGTTATGGACGAGAGTGCTAGCTTGGGATCCAGAAGATCTGAGTTTTAGTCCCCACTTGGTCATGGAGCATGGGTGACCAGCCACAGGCACTCAGCCCAATCTACCTCACAGGGTTGTTGTGAGGATAAAATGGAGAGGAGGATGACATAGCCCACCCTAAGTTCCTTGAAAGGAAAGAAGGTGGGATATAGATATAATAAACAGACAGTGTGGACTCTGTCCCTGCTCGCTTTGCCAGCCTCTGCAATGAAGGAAGTTGTGGGACAGATGAGGAAAGCCAAACTGGTGGAACAATTTTCCAGACAGGTCAGGTAAAGGCAGATGCAGCAAAGCCAGGTATCCCACTGAAGAGCCTTTGGAGGAGCTTCCTGACAACATTTCAGCCAGGGGACTGTGGGGACTACACCTTTCCATCCCAAACTAGCTCTCCATTGATGTATGTGCTGGCTGAAGGTGTCACCTTTTAGTAACATAATCCGCAAGATCACTGTTCTAAAAAAGACCTGACAACCAAGGGCTCGACTCAACCTGATAGTACATTTAAATGGAGAAAAGCATCAAAAGCAGTTTGAAAGGAAACAGGCCAATTAATGAAACAGCTGGGATTTTCAAGGAATCGCTAGAACATGGAGTTTGCTGCTTTTAAATATTCCATGTTGTTCAAGATACTATTTTATTGTCATTTGCTTGGCGTCAGACACCCTGATGTCATGGAGTCAGGCTCTGGAAGTCCAGAAGTATGAAAAGCAACAAGGAGTTAAAAAACAAACCCACGTTCCACTAAACACACAAAACCCTAGCATAACAAAAGAGCTCTTTGGATCCCTAGTCTTGATTTTTCTCAAATGCAAATACTGTAACTAGAGAAGATGGACGGCTTCAGTAAGATGCTCAAAAGGAACATTTCTTACCTTCCCCAGCCTCTTTCAGGAGTTTGTGCAGCTCCTCTACAGCCTGAGTCAATTCATTGCTCTTCGCCTCCAAATCATCTGCAGCACTCTGCAAGGTACCAGGTTTTACATGAAGTGCCACATAATCAAATGTATTTGCAACACTACGTAGTACTTTTTAAAGCTCCAGGAAGTGGAGAAAGGGAAGGCTTGGCAGGGACTATGAGGTACTGGAAGGGTGAGTTTGTATAGTGCAAAGATCGTAAGCGAAGTCTATCCTACACCCCTTTGCTAGAAAGCACAGGATGCAGGTTTCCCTGCTTCTCTCAACTATATTAATATTCACATTTGGTGGATGTGTCAGATTCTGTGCTTAAAAACAGATGATGCAATTTATGAAGCTGCTAAATACATGCAAATATACCCAGCCCCACTGTAGGAAAATAATATGGTGATGGCAATGGTCTCCAGCTTCTACACAACCCATGTTCATGTTTTCATAAGTGGCTGCATTTTTAAAAAATACTGGAACAGAATATTTATGGTTTCGGCTGCAATCCTGTCGTTACTTACTTGGAAGTAAGCCTCATTGAAATCAATGGAACTTACTTCCAAGAAGGTGTTTAGGCTTGCAATACTAAAGGATCGCATCTTCATGGGACAAGTTATCATTTAATAATAATTATGAGCAGAGCAAATACATTTACAAATGTACATCTAAACATACATGCGTAAGTAAAAGAGATAAAAATTTGAAGCTGCTACTGAAATCATACCTTGTATAAGTTAGACAACTTGATATGAGCATTTAGTTCATTGTGGAATCTTTCTTCCATATTAGCTTGCTGATCTTTTGCCTGGTAAATAAATGTATTTGTGTGGTTAGCATAGAAAAAAAATCATTTTAAGAATGGAGACTAGTGCAACAGTAATTCAGTACTGGTAAACATCCATGAACAAATGTTAACTGAAGTGTAATGAATCATATTCTTACTTTTGTACTATTATACTGGGCTAGGTTCAAAACTGAGTTTCTTTCAGGCTCTTTAATGCCATCAATTTGGTTTTGTACTGAAATGCTGCAGTATTTCCATGGAGAAGCTGTAAGTTAAGATTTTGACCAGATTCGCTGCATTTCTCTAATATATCCTCAAATATCACACAACACTACAAAGAACTCAGATCCAAGAATGAATGTAGCCTTACTAGAAGGAAGCCTCACTGAAGTTTGCATGACATGACCACAACCATATGGGACCTACTGCACCTCACTTAACAGAATACAAATATTAAAGCAAAACTATCGTAACTCTTGGGACAGTCCAGCCAACAAGAATCATCAAAGGAAAGGAAATTAGGTTTTACCTCCTTCAGCTTCGTTAAAAGATCTTCCACGTGTTTCTGAAGATTTTCATTCGACTGCTTTAAGCCACTGACTTGCTCTTCCAGCCGGGAAACCTACAGAAACATAGAAGACAGAGGACACGGATCATACTTAAAGCCACCTGCTTTCTACGTGGCAAGGCTTATATACCTTATGATCTGTTACAGAAGACATGCTGCTAAGTTCTCAGGTATGGCTTCAATTTAAGGTGTTTAAGGTAAAGACTGGCAAAGAACCTTGTTTCTGCAACTGCTCTGCAAAAAGGGTACATACAATCCAGCATCCTATTTCCAACAGTGGCCAAGAAGATGCCTCTAGGAAGGTCAAAAGGAGAACAGGTAGGCAACTGTTCTCTCCCAGTGTTTGCTACTCAGCAACTAGCATTGAGAAGTATACAGCTTCACTCTGCCCAAGAGCCACCAATAAACCAGTGATGTGACATCAGTTAGGTTCAGATACTCTCAGTGTTATGTCATTGGCACGACACAGGGCATCAGCTCTGAAAGCCCACTAATGGTTCTTATTCCACCGGTTGTAGCCTAGAAGTCTGTTGTATTAGAGGCAGCGAGCAAACATTCTACCATGACAATAGATTCTCGATCATCTAGACAAGTACATCCACAGTGTTCAGCTCCATTAGAGATGTGTGAACATAATATTTAAGGAACACCAATGCTTTGCTTTTACCTCCTCTTTCTTGTTTTCCAAGCTACACTTAAGCTCCAAGATTTCACTTCCTTTTTCCCGAGCAAGAAGCAGGAGTTCATCCGTTTTGGTCTTCAGCTCTGTATTCAGCCAAGTATTCTGATTTTGTAGCAACTCCTTTTCTTGCTCCCATCTTTGCTCACGATACTAAAAGATCACATATTATATGCAACTTATTCAGTTCATAAAACAAGTTAAAACAAAGACATGCCTTAGACACATGGTACTATTTACAGTGTAAATCCTCTTAAAAGCTTCTGGGCATTCCATACCAAATGTGTATATGCAGGAATTGCTTTCAGTTTCAGAGCAAAGAGTCTAAGCCTCAATGGCCTAGTTTGTATGACATGGTGACTTTGCAATGGGTTGCTGGACTCTCAGTGCTGCGTTGACTCCATTTTCATATGTACTCCTGATCAGGGTAATCAAGGAATCATGATGTAAACTGAATCTGGCCATTAGATTAGATGGTTTACTCCAGTGTGGTTGGGATCCCACTACATGGCAACTTCCAAGCGAGGGATACCTTTTCAAAATCGCACTCAAGCATTCCACATTTACTGGAGATTAAACAACCAACAGTGAACCTGACATGACATGTGAACTGATTAGCATTAGATTGCTGTCTCAGATAAGCTGCTGCACTCAATAAGAACAGCATGTGATACTGCATTCAATGTCCAATAAACTATGCCTAAGTAATACAATCTTTATTTATGACCATTTTATTAGTAATCCAAACTACCAAGTTTTTTTAAATCTAAGTAACTACTACTTGCACACTGGAAGTCTTCCAAATTGCCTCAACACTAAAAGACACGGCTACATTATGTGAAAAGAAAGCACAGTCAAAGGACTCTTACAGAATGAACCTCAAAAAGTGAGGTATACCGGAGGTGTCTTCATTATCTGATTCCTACAATTCTATAAAAGAACTGGGCACTAACAAGAAGGCACTACTCACTTTCACAGAAAAGGCTGATGTCTGAAGTTCATCCAACTGTAACTGCAGCTCTGCTTTTGCTGTGTTCACTGCGGTTAGTTTCTCATTCAGACGTTTAACATCCTCTACAACATGCATGTGGAATGGAGCGATTATTTTTAAATATTGATGCCAGACAGTACAGTAGAGATTAAAATCATTTTGCTGGAAGTAATGAGATCTTCTAGGTTGTAATACATGTATTGTCTATTTACGAGCCTCAAGGTGTTACAGGATAAATGTGCCACCGAACGAAAGCTTAACTTGCTCAGGACGTGACCCATACTGCTAGCGTCAACAGAAAAGTCTGCAATGCAAGGCACCTCTTCATTTGCAACCTGAAGTGCTCCTCATTCTCAATAACTGAAATAAGCCTGTGTGAGAGTACTTTTAATAGATCCACAGGCCGCTTTGGGACGCAGAGAGTGAACGTATTCCTCTGTCAAGCTCCACTCAACGCTGCACATTAGGAAGTGAACCAGAATCTCTGCACAGATGGCCAAGCAGTAACTCCCGAGATCTCTGCAACAGCCGTGGGGCTCTCTTGGGGTGCTGCCACCAGACTGCTCAGATCAGCCAGTGGAGAGGACGCTGATCCCACTAAGCATGCCCTGGGTGCTTACAAGTACGGGTAGAGGTGGCCACCCTCCTCTTCCAGGATGGTACCCTGACATCCACTTAACACCACAGAAGAAGACCACCTATTACTTCAACTTAAAACTGCAACCAACCTCTCAAATCACAGAATTTGCCCTTCATGCTTAGCACTGCAGTATTTAGCTCTGAGTTACAACTTCTTCAGAGACACTTTATTTATTTACTGATTTAGATTTATATCCCATCTTTTTAACTTCCAAGGAACAAAAGGCAGCTTACATGATCCTCTTGTCCAGCATTCTGTTTACACAGTGGCCAACTACCTGCCTGTCAATTAGGAATGGCCACTGCCAATTTGATCCATACGATACAGCTCTTTTAACCAGACCACTGAAATATTGCCTGCCAGCAGGACCCTTTTATTCTTTTATTAAAGTTTTCTCATTACCATTTAAGTGCTCCAGCTCCTGTGCTCTCCTTTCGCTTGTTCGGACCAATTCTCTTTTCTCGGCTTCCAATTCTTCTTTTGCTCGCGCTAACTGACTCTGAAAAGGGGGAAAGGTACTTTTCAACTTACTGCAGCGATGTCAAAAGGCCATGTTAAGACCTGCCAAACTGAATGATGTTACAAAATATGAATCAGCAATCAAGTCCAAAAAATTCCTATAGAGTGAACAGGGGAAAAAACCTCAATCCAAATGTCTCTAATTGGAAATTTATGGATAAAAATATTATGGCTCAGTGTTGTATTATTTAGAAAATATTTGCTGCCCATTAAATATAACAATATAAACCCAGAAACTTTTATAGCAATTTTATGAGATGTCGGGAATGGCAGTGGTTACTGTTGGAACTACGCGCTCACCTTTGTTCAGAATTGGTTTGGGCTTCATGGGAATTGATTAACAGATATTTAAGATTGCTAGCATTCAGTTTCAATTTGAAGCAGGAACTATATATACCACAGAGTGTGTCTGGGCATAATTGAAAGTGCTGGCGACTGTCCCTGCTTTTGCTTTTCGGCGCCAGGCGAAGACCTTTTTATTTAAAAGTTATTTTAACTGTTAATTTATTATTATTGTATTTATAGATTTTAATATATAGCCGAGATGGTACCAGTTTTTAAATTGATTGCATTTTTATGTATGTTGTGAGCCGCCCCGAGGCTTTGTTGCGATGGGGGCGGCATAGAAATGTTTTAAATAAATAAATAAGGTAGAAATGGGGGGGGCAGCATTTTCCCTTAGAAAACTGAAGACTGATATGTAAACTTGAACTTTTCTTGCTATTCTATCCTTTTCCCTCACTACAAAGCAAGCACAATCTTTCAGGAAAGGAATCTGTTTGTTACAGCGGCTTGTTGCTGACATTCACAAACAAGCCGGGATAACTAACAGCTAATAAGTAGGAAAACAAAGCAGCCTTTGTCTGCAGGAGGCATGACTCTTGTTTGGCGGTTCTGTTATTTGCTCAAGTAACTTTGACACTGAGTGCAAGAGCCTCTGTTCATGTGCAGAAGTGAGGGCATCTCTACCTGAATGGCTGCATTGTGATCCTGAGCAGCTTCCAGTTCTTTGTTCCTCTCCGTCAGCAATTTCAGCTGCTCATCTGGAATGGGAGGGGAGGGCAAAAAGAAGGTTATTTGCATTCAGAAAAATGTACCCCTCAGAAACAAGCTTGGCTAAGTGCCCTCTTTTGCCATCAAAAAACTAAACTAAAAGACTCCACCAAAAGACCTTTCTTTTCAAAAAAATATTTTAATAGCTGATGCCACTCAACCTTCCTTTTGTATTTTTATTTCTATTTCAGCAGTATTGTATTTTTAATTGTTGAAATTAATTTTATTGTGTTTTGTAGCTGATGATTGTGAGCCACCCAGAGGTGCTGTGGCACAATAGGCAGCATAGAAATGTTTTAAACAAACAAACAAACAAACAAACAAACAAACTGCTTGGTTCAAGCCTGCTCATCCACACATGATGTGGGGCCCCAACAGCTGCTTCAACACCTCAAATGTATATCAAACACACACGAGGGCAGGTTGACTTCTCAGCTGATTCTGCTTCACTGTGAAATTCACTTGTAGATTTCCCCAAGTGCAAACCTTAATATCTTCTGAAAACCACATCCCCACCCCACAAACTTTCTGAAATGGTTTTAGGGTGTATTGCTGGGGCTGTTAACAGGCATTTGAGACCATTCTGATGTGGATTTTATTGCTTTATCTGGCTTTTATAGACCCAAGCAAGCAAATATCTTTGACTAAATGGCATCACCATGCTTCTCTGTAGCACAAGACAGGTACAAAGTCAAGCACTTATCATTCAAAATCTCACTCAGGGGAATGGTTCAATATTCTTTTCAGAATACACAAATAAACAGAACTAATACTATTTAGCAACCAATGTAATCTATAAGAATACTTACTAAGTTTGGTGAGCTCCTGATGGAGGTTCTGACACTCCTGGGTCTCATTTACAAGTCTCTCCTGGCTCTGAGCCAGTCGTTTTTCTACCTCAAAGTACTGTTGCTCTGGAAAACACCCATTAACATGACTTCAGTATCTGCCTTACAAGGACATGTACAAATCATGATGTCCTACACATAAAAGAACAGCTTTGGAAATGGCACATGACCCCTTGAAAAGCACATTAATTTCACATAATTGTGCGCTCTTTGATGAAACACTTGGGAGATTTAGGAAGTTGCACAAAAACTGGAGGAGCACTGATCTTTTTGGACAACCGCATTTCAGGCTTCTTGATGAAGCATATTTAGAAAGGTGTCCCTCTTGGTGCCATTCTTAATCTTATTCTCTGACCAGAAACAACTCACCCATTCTATTTTCCCCCACGATACTTCTTGAAATAAAAAAGGAATCTGACAGACCAGGCTTACACAAACTCTAAACTGATGTTAGAGTTGCAGGCTAAATTTGTTGTGGCAAACTGTTAACAGACCAGCCTCCCGATCCATTTCACAGAAGCACTACAAGCCAGCAAATAAATCCACTGGGGTATACCACTTCTTCTGTGAGCTGCCCCGAGGTTTTGTTGCGATGGGGGCGGCATAAAAATGTTTTAAATAAATAAATAAATAAAAAGGAACTTTTCACATCTTCTGGTGCACAGGTTCTGCCTCCTCAGTTTAGGTATTGCCATGTTGAATCAGCAAGGTCAGAATGAAATGGTACTTGTGTTTCTTTGAACCTGAGCAGAGCACTCTATGAGATCAGGAACTCTGCCTTCTCAGGGTCCCCCATTGTAGAGAGAATTCTAATCATATTCATGAAAATAAGTATAGCACTTCCTTCTGACCTTGTCAATTAAAGATTATTTGTTTGTAGTATTTAAATATTGCTAAGCATAATAGGTTCCCTAAATAGTTTGCATGTAAACACTGAGACTGCATTTAAGCTATTAGTATTAAATCACATTTAAAATACACCTTTACAAGAACAAGAACAACAAGCAGGACAGGAACAGGAAAATGGAGCTGGTGAAAGCCTGGGTGACCAACTAAGTTTTCAGGAGGCACTTGAAAATGTCTTTATTTTCCACTTCCTGAATTGCACATGGGAAAGCATTCCCCAGGGTGGGTGCCACTACTAAGACCTGTCCTCATGGATCATTCTGTTAATTTTAGAATGATCACCAAGACTTCCTCTGATGACCTTAAAGGTCAGTTGGATGTAAGTGAGAGAGAGATATCTGCTAGATATCCTAGTTGTCTAGGGCTTTGTACATCAGTCCCATAACAAAGAATATAACTTGGTAGTGAAAGGCAGTCAGTGCAATTCTTTAACACAGATCTATGAACACAGCTGGCTGCCCTAATGAGCAACACAGCTGCTGCACTTTTCATTACTTGCTGCCTCTCAACCAGAAGCTAACCTAGGTTAGAGGCGGGGCCATGCCCTTGTGGTGGGGCCAGTGGGCATGGCCCCTCACTTCACCAGTTCAAGCCATCATACATACATTCAGGCCAGCATCTGAACGGAGCCAATCTTACTTCAACATTCTAAGGTACATTAATAGGAGCCTTCAAAAAAAAAAAAAAAGGTACAAGCTCTCCCAAGCACCCAACCTGCACTTCATTGTTTGAGGAGAAACTGTTACTCCAGGAAGGCCTTTGTAATGTGTAGCCCTGGCAGGAATATATAAATGTCACACGAGCATAGTGGTTAATTCCTGCTACTCTTCTTTTCATCCAATGATCCTAAAAACAGAGTTTAGACTGGGAAAAAGAAGATAGGTGAAGGGGATCCAGACAAAAGTTGAAACTAAGTTTCAAGTAATAGTGAAAAGATGAAAAGACTGTTGTGAATTTCAGTAAGTTCAGACTTAGCCTTGAGATTTTAGTAAGAAACCTCCAAGGTGAAGCCTGTAATACACTTTTTAACATTTTGCTTTGAGGCCGCTCAGTTTCATCTCACCTGTACTTTATTTGTATCTTGAGCACATCATGGAATTTGTGTACAGGAATGCAGACAATGCAGCCTTTGAAAAGTTGAGTGTGTGGTGTGCTATTAACTGCGAACCGCATATTGTCTTTGAAAGCTGGCTTGCAGGATCATCCCACAAAAAGCAAAAAGGCTGTCATTGACCCAGTTACAGAATGGTGTCCCCAGAGGCTTAACACGTGCTTATATTGAACTCTCTTTAGCATCATATTAGGTACTTTTTATTTTCCCGAGTTTTCTAATCTTACACTCCTCTAGTATAATAAAAATCCTTGCACCTTTAATTCATTTGAATAGTTTCATGCAACTGCAGAAGCTTAATTATTAGAAGAGAAATAAATACTATAAATAAATTTAAGAGAGGGCCAAAAGCGGGGGGGGGGGGGGGGGGCGGGAGAAGGGGCAGATCCACCATTGCATTCAAAGCCAGGAAAAAGCAGGGGGAAAGTTTTGGGGTTTGCTTGTGTATTGTTCACCATGCTCAGCAAAGAGCATAGGTCAAGCCTACTCACAAGCCTAAGCTATCTCATAGGATAGCTAACAGCCTAGCCCACCTCACAGGGTTGTTGTGAGGAGAGAGCAAGGAAGATCCTATAAATCCTTCCTTGCAAAAGGTAGTAAAAAGGGCACGAGATCAAATAACGCATTTATTTATCTATTCATCGCCCACCTTTTTCTCTTCTCTTTAAGAACTCAAAGCGGCTTACATCATTCTCCCCACCTGCTCTCAGTCTGATTCCCACAACAACAACCCTGCGAGGTAGGCTGGGCTGTGAGTCTGTGCCTGGCCCAAAGTCACCTTGTTGGCTCCATGGCTGAGCGGGGACCAGAGCCCGGATCGCCTGAGCCCCAGTCCCGTCAGGGCATGCGCCAGCGGAACCCGAGTCTGCAACAACCGAGAACGCTCCGCCGGGTCCGGCCGGCGCGGAGCCATCCCCGCCTCCACGCACCGGAGGGGACACGGCCCTCGGCCCACTCACCGCTGTCCACCTTGTAGCGCTCGTGCCTGGCGCGCAGCCCGTCGATCTCGCTCTGCTGATCGGCCAGAAACCGCTCCAGCTTGCCCTGCACGGCCTTGGGCAGCTTGGCCACCTCGGCCCGCTCCAGGACCTGCTGCAGCACCGCCGCCATCGCGGGAGCGAAGCAGGACCGGCAGCCCCTGCGCGCGCCAGGAAGGTGTCCCCGGGACTCCGCGGGAGCTCATAGGGCGCATGCGCCAAGCCCTGGCTTCCTCTACGTAGAGGATTCTCGGTACTAAGGGATGACGGGAAATGCAGTTCAACAGCCTCTGAAAGACAACAGGGCGGGAAAGCCCGTGCTCATTTTAACTGGACTTGTTTATTGCAGATTTAGGATTTGGAAAAGGAAAACTTCTATAATTCTCAACGCCTTTCCAGGCAGCCGGAGGGAAACTTGGAGTCCTCAGTACGGTAGGTACATTTTTGCCACACTCAAGATGGTGCATGCCAGGCCGTCGCTGCGTTTTCCGTGAATAGTAGGACTGCGTGTGTGTTGCGTCATCAGGATGTGCCTTGTTGTGAGAAGGAGCGCGGAGACGCTGGGTGATGACGGAGGTTAGGACACCTCAGTGAAGAAGGGAAGATGGAAAAGCGGGCTTGAGGAGGTGAGGGGCTTTGTCGTGGGGAGGGAGGTCACGCCGCCCTGGGGAGGAGAGTAGGAATTGAAATGTGGGGGTGGAGGTGGAGAAGAATAACTTAAGAAGGGCCATGGCTGGAGAAAGAATCGCTAAAGAAAGGAAGGGTGGAGGGGGCATCCATTCGTGCTGATCCCGTAAGATTGTCCTTTGCAGCTCTTGAATTGGAAAGGTGATTTCTGCTTCTCTGATTCCCCGCTTTATCTCTTCCGCGCCCTCCCCTTCAAAGTTGCGTGGAATGTTGCGTTTGTGCAATCATGGGAAGAAGCTACATTGTGGATGAAGCTGTTGGACCGTATCTGTCAGAGCTTGCTTCTTGCAAGTCTAAAGCTTTTGTCACTGGCCTCTTGATAGGACAGGTGAGTGTCTTCTTAAAGTTTGATATATTAAGGGAGCAACTGGGAGACTTTGGCCAGTCACGGACTCTCAGCCAAACCTACCACTCAGGTTGTTGTGGGGATAAGTTGGGAACAGGAGGAGGGGAATGCTGTAAGTCATTTTGAGTTCCTTGTAAAGAGAAAAGGTGGGATATAAATCTAAGAAACAAATAAATAAACCCTGGGTGTGGCTAGATGGGGAGTGTTGGGAGATGCAAAAGTTTTTGCCGTCAAAACATGCATAGGATTGTGGCTTAAGGGACTCTATCCATCCACTGCAAGTTCTGGAAGCCTCTTTTCTAGGGGAAGAAATTCTCATCCAGTTCATGGCATACCACTGATAGCCTCACTTAGTCCTTAGCAGTGTAATCTCGTAAAGCTTGCCCTGTTCAACAGTAAATGTTTTTAGAGTTGCAGATTCATGTGTGGGTTCTACAGAAATGAGTGGAGACTCCCTAAGTGAAATTCCTGCTGGTATCTGCTCTTGAAGCGCTGCTCCACTGCTTACAATTTTAGCATCATTTGTCCATTTTGTATTTGATTTAGCAGCAATTAGCAAAAGTGGCTCTGTGAATTACTTACAATGCTAAATACTGAAACCTAGCAATGTAGGTTTTCCTGTACTTTATCATACTGTTCCTAAGTCTTGACAACCATGATGGAATGATTGATGGCAAAAGGAGAAGGGGACAACAGAGGATGAGATGACTAGATGGAGTCACTGGGGCAGTAGGTGTGGGCTTGGGTGGACTCCAAGGGATGGTGGAGGACAGGAAAGCCTGGGGGAATGTTGTCCATGGGGTCACGATGGGTCAGGCATGACTTTGTGACTAAACAACAAAAGTCTTGAGAGCGCCAGAATGAAAAAGAATAGTTAGAAAACAAAGTTAGTTTCAGCTGCATGGCTTCTGTTGATTTGATCATGTTTCAGATTTGATAAAGTAGCATACATTAAGTTGCTACTGTATATCCCAAGTAGAAGCATCTGACTAGTGATGGGCTGCAGTGTTTTAGGGACTGGAGATTGGCTAGATTAACTACCCCTGTTCGTTAACTTGATTTAACAAATAGGCTGCATTCAGAGACAACTTATTTTAGCCCTTTCGCAGTACCATGGTCTTGGGTAATCATATATAGATGATTTACTGTTAACACAGTGGTAAAAGGTAAAGGGATGCTAAAAATTGTAGCTTGATTCGTAGACTGCAAGAGATGGCAGTGGATTAGCACTTGTTGGATTGGATGGATCCTCAGCCTGGTATGGACTACTCAAGAACTTTGTTGCAAAAATGTTTTGGCAACAAAGCTGAAAAGAAAGTTGAATGAGTTGAAAAGAAAAGGAGGTGTCCCCCCCCCCCCACTCCCAATTAGGCAAGATTTGTTTGTGTGTGAATATGCATACATGAACACATTATGGTGAATAAGCAGTTTTAAAGGTGCTTAATGTTAAATTTAGGTCTCTGGAGGTCCTTATTTCTCCTATATTTTCAGTGCTCCCAGCAAAAAGATTATGTCTTGATAGCTGTTCGGACACCTCCAAAAGAGGAGAAAAGTGAAAGCAATACAAGTTACCATTCAGATTTGTCTCATATTGATGAGGAATGGATAACAGCACATGCTACTCAGGTACTACATGTTCAGTTGTATCTGTTCTGGTGCTGAAACGTACTGCTCTGCTTCTAAACCCATCTCACTTTCATGTATTCATTCTTCATTCTCTGCATTCTGCTGGTTTATAGTAGCTTATTTGCTTATCTCCCAAACACTGGACTTCTGTACACTATTATTATTAATTTCATTTGCTGTACCACGCATAGCCGAAGCTCTCTGGGCAGTTTACACTCCCCTTTCACCTATCAGTTAAGCTGGATTCTCTGTGCCTTACTTTAATCACTGATTTATCCATTCTTGCCATTTTCCTCTTCATCTGGTCTCTTTTAATATAGAAGTTTAGAGTTTAGCCTTCAAAGAAGGGCTTAATATGTCTGTACAGTGCAAAGTACACTGTTGGTTATAAACATTAATATATAACCATTGGAATAACGCAAAGATGACATGTTTAGTCTTATAACTGAAACATGATCTAATTTGGAGGACTATTGCTATCTGATTCTTATTTGCATTTGTATTTATTATAACTATTACATGCAACTATACATCGCTGCCTAAGATAGGTAGGGTGTATTTTAATGTATATTTTTGTTACAACGGTAGCTTACTCTTTCTCAGGCAAGGTGAGATAATGATTTGCTTGAATCCACCCTGAGTTGTGTTTTGATATTAGGTTTCATTGTTCAAGCCCCAGAAACTAACTGCTAAGCCATTTCAGCTTTCTCTAGTATTGTGTGGAAACTTGTTATGCAATCTAAATAATCAAGATGGAAAAAAACCTTAATTTTCTCTGGCAGATAGTATCAGATACTGACAAGATTTCTAAATGTTGCAAGTTCCTGACTGAATAGTGTCCCTCAGTTAAGACATTGTTCATATTCTCGTGAACTGGGCAGGCGCCTGGGTGCATTGAGATACACTCTTTAATCTTCTGTATTTGCGAAGCATTCATGTCATATGTAGACATTCCATTATGCTTTTAAATACTTTGGTATTTATGTTGGTTTGATTTGCTAGGTATCAAGAATGCTTCCTGGAGGACTGCTAGTTCTAGGTGTTTTTGTCATTGCAGTTCCAGAACTTGCAAAAGAAATCCAGAATACTTTACGGAAGGTAAATGATAGCAATTTGTACTTGCAGCCTTGGTCATTTTATTTATTTCTTAAGCATTTACTGTTTTTTCACATCCTATATTGGTGCTTAAGGCAGCTTACAACAATGCTGTAAAACTATACAATTAAAGTAGTACTTATAGGAGAATCTATTCAGGCTTCTGTAGAAAAGGAATTCCAGAACCTTGGCACAATCACTGATTCCCATGAGACAATCCCCAATTACTAGTGGAAGATCTTTCAACCTGGGCAATTTTGCATGGAGGAAGGTTGTATTTTAGGTACTTGACCGTTAGGGTTATAACCATGCATGGGTTGTGCTGAACCATGCATTTGTTGACTTATGCTATTAAAGGGCTCCTAGAAAGTAACCACAATGAGCACAAATTTGGGAATGCCCATTGTGGTGATGGTGGTATCTTCTCTGATTTTCATTAAGATGCTTGTAATGAGCAGAAAAGTATTTTGCCTTAGGAATGGCATTCACCTTGTGGGTGCAGCTATGTAGTTTGGGGTACTCTTTCTCAAACTCAGCTTTAACTTGTTTTTTATTCCCTTCCTTCCCCAAGCTTGTTTTTTCTGTAGAAAAGTCACTAGCTAAAAAGAGGCTGTGGAACATTTCAGAGGAAGATGTGTCAGACCGTGTGACTCTTCATCTTTGTTCTACCACAAAGAAGTATCCTTTTGACAGCCAAGTTGGAGCCCTCAGTTCAGCTCTCAAATATCTGCCTTAATTTAGGCTGTGTTCTTCTGTGTGCTTACCTTGGATTAAACCCACTGAACACAATTAGATTCACTTAAAAACGTAAGAAATGCCATGCTGGATCAGACCCAGGGTCTCTCTAGTCCAGCACTGTGTACACACAGTTGCAAACCAGCTGCCCACAGGATCACTCAAGCAGGATGAATGCAAGACCTCCACTTGCCCAAGTGCTTCAGCAATTGATGTATGCAGGCATGCTGCCTCTAGTAAGGGAGGCAGCACATAGGCAGCAAGGCTAGTAGCCACTGGTAGCCACTTCCCTCTTCAAGTCCTGCCACAGCCGCTGGTGGGGTTGTTCTGTAAGTAATATAAAATTTCTATAGGATTGCACTGGTAGCCTGGCAAAGCCAAACCTACTGTTAGCACATTATCTGTAGTATAATCAGCAGCTGAAAAGAAAAACCGGTTTCAGCAACTTGATTTGTTAAAAATAAGTAATTATAAAGATAATTATGGTCTTAACTGGATGTTTTTAATGTCAAATTATGGCAAGTCTGAGCAAAGGAGGTATGAATTTATTCGATGTTCAAATCTATTCTATAAGCACATTCAGTTGTTGTTCTTAATCGGGAACGAATACTTTGTCGCACTTACAATATGCAAGATCCAAAGGTGAGTCGTTTGTCCTTGGCAAGGGTTGGGGGAAAAATAAAGAAGAACATTGGTCATTTTTATTTGAACAAGGCGGTGATATTTGTTGTAAATCCTGTTTCAAATGAGAAGTCATTTCCCTACAACTGCCGATGCTCTCTTGGCTTTTACTTAGTATAGACTATAGAGCTTGCTCAATAGACTATAGAGCTTGCTCAAAGGGTTTGGTTGGGAGAACAGGGTCTTGAGAATTCCTGCCAGTCTTACAGTTTGCATGAAGCATTTAATTTCAGATACGCTAATAATCCTGCCTTAGGTTACACTACTGTGCACATTTACTCTAGAGCAAGTTCCATTTAACTCAGTTGGGCATATGTCTGAGTAAATGTGCCTAGATTACATTGTTTGGATCCCAGAAGTAAGTTCATAAATCTTTTGTTCCCCACTCCCTCTTGTTGGCTTCTTAACAGTATGATCTCTTCTCTTCTGTTTAGAGTCCAGCCAAGCCAGCAGACTGGAAATATCAGAATGGCCTCTCTTCCTCGTGGCTGTCTTTAGATTGCACCATCAATGCCAATATACACATCCCGCTACCGGTCACCTTGGCCAACCATGACCTAGAGAAAAATACAAGGGTAACAGAACCGCTCCTGCACGTGGCTCAAGCTGGAATGATGTTTGTAGTTCAGTTGAAGCTGCCTTTGCTCCATCTGCTTTGCAGTTTCCTGAGCATATTTTGTCCATTAGTCTTTCACACTCGGCTCCATATGGCTTCTCCCGTCTTCCATAAACTTTCACTCGACCCTTTGGTCGGAGCCCATTCCGGATTGTTGGAATGTTGTCCCTTCTCTGTGGGTTGCCAGTTCATCTGCTCTGCCCCAGCCTTGCTGGTCCCCCTGGCAAAAGACCTTTTGAGGCGCTGCTCATGAGGGACCAAGGCAATGAGGTTCCTGTCTGGTTTCCAGGACTGTTTTTGATAGGAATTTCTCAATTTTATTCAGGGATATTAACAGGAGAGACTGGTGTCTCCTATGTCAATAGGGCTCCTTGCGCATTACAGTTTTTATTCTCGGCTTTATAGGAGCCATCTGTGATGGTGAACCTGCTTTGGGGGTGTATTTCAGCACCAGGGATAGCTCCTATGCAGTTCTAATTTGAAGCTGCAATGGATAAGGAGCCCCATTGATATAACAGGCACCTTGGATTATTAACTTACTCAGCTTTCTTTCACTTTGTGGGAATTATAAAATAAAAAAAAGTTTGCATGCTACTTACCTTTCGGGTCTTTTGCTTTGTCTCTTAGCAGCACTGATTACAAATTGCCACTGTTTAACAGCTGTAAGTTTCCTAAGCATTTACTATTAGCCACAGTTCGGTGTGAGTCACACCTTCTAATATTGCTGGTAAAGAATGTATTTATTTGCCTGTCCGTTTGTCACATTTTATATTGCACAAAAGCTGAAGCTCTGCACGCAGTTCACAAAGGAACTATTTTCAAGATCTACAATGTGCATCCTTCTCTTTGTAGGTTGGATTAGTACGATGGGCAAAACAGATCGAGGAAGCAGTCTTTTTGATCAATGGTCAAGTCAAAGAGGAAGACACTGACTTACTAGAAGGGCAGGTAAGCGGTACGTGGCATCCTCTGAATGTCAAGGTAGAACACGGTGGACAGGTTCATGCAACATGACAAGCTACAGTGACTTTTTACCATGGTTGGTCAGTCATGCCATCCAAACCTGGGGATATTTCAGTAGATTTATAGAAACCACAATCATAGAGTCATAGAATACTAGAGTTGGAAGGGGCCATGAAGGCCATCAAGTCCAACTCCCTGCTGTTGCAGGACACCACTTCACACCAACCAGGTGCAACCATCTCCTCCATGTTCTCTCTGAACCATGATGACTTCCTCTACCCATCCTGGTAGTAAGGTCAGAACCAGAGATCTGCTAGGCAACAGCAGCCATTTCCACACTAGCCAGGGAGGAGACTGACTTACCAAGCAATTAAGTATTCACCGTGGTATATGGCTGTTTACCAGGTGCTATTCATATTCCTCCCACTGAGACAGTATGCATATCTTAGGAGCTTAGAAGTCTTTAAAAGCTGCATAGTTAGAAAAGAGATTTGCCATTAGAAGACAGAAACTCTGGAAACACATCGCATTAGTATGTGATAAGGATGGGCTGGTCAGAATGTCAGAGTATTTTCAGTGTGTGTTCATTTCCATGTGGTGCAGCGGTTCAGAGCAAAGAAAATACTTACCTACCCTGCAGGGGTGTTGTGAGGGAAGTCCAGTGTGGTGTAGCAGTTCAGAGCATGGGACTGGGACTCGGATGACCTGGGTTCTAGTCCCCACTCAGCCATGGAGCCCACTGGGTGGCTTTGGGCCAGTCACAGGCTCTCAGCCCAGCCTACCTCATAGGGTTCCTGTTGTGGGGATAAGATGGAGGAGGAGATTGATGTAAGCTGCCTTGAGCCCTTTGTAGGAAAAAGGCAAGATACAAACTGAAAAATAAATAAATGACTAAATAAATAACAATGTGTTCATCTATAGGTTTGTTCCATCACCTTTTCATGCTAATCTACTCTTTTAAAAAGCTGCAAAATAGAATCCTCATTTTAGTGTGCATCTTGGGAAGTGTTTAAGCTGATCACTGCAACACAAGAATGAGGAAGAGCAGACTAATTGTGCATTAGATTGGAAAGTGTGAATCAGGTCAGTTTGCTTCCAAAATGTCAGGAAAAAACCCTCAAGCATTCCTGCTAAATGGACATAGAAATCATAGGTGTGACAGTTAAAACAGAAAACTTTCTCCACCAGTCTTTGATCTTGAGTTGAGTCCCTGGGCATCTTCCTGTGCTGGTCCTCAGGTACCCCATTTGGATAGGGTATATTTTGAGAACATGAGTTGGTGGTGTCCCAAACAGGCAGAGCAATACTTTGCGGTCTTATCACTTAGAAGGCAGTCTTGACATAGAAAAGGTGGTTTTGCCGGCTCTTGGCAACCAGCAAGGAACTGCTCATAAAGAAAAATATGCAGTGGTTTACTTATCTAAAAGATGTTTATCGCACAATTCTTATAAAATTCAAAACAACCGAAAACTATCAGAAGAATCAGAATGGGCCTCCTTTCTTAAGGTTGTTGAAAGATAGGAAGGTCATGAATTCTCTTAAATCTCCCTTCTTTGCTTCAATTGTCTCTACAGAAAAAGTTTGCAAGAGGAAACATGTCATCATCTAGTCAGAGTCTTGACGTCAGGGTTTTAATGCAATTGGTAAGTAAATTCACCAATGCAGTTGCGAAGAGAGTGATAAGAAGTCTCTGGTTGAATCTCACCTCATATATACATTTGCTGAGGGTGGAATCTCAGGCAAGTTTAGACAGAAAAAAACATCCTGCAACTCCAGCCATGTCCCACCAGCCGTGCTAGCTGGGGCATGCTGGGAGTCATCGGACTTTATTGAAAGATGGCTGCGATAGTGTCCTAAGTAACCTTAGATAAGCTGATGTTTCTTGGCCTCAGCTCCTGGCCATATCTGTGATCTGCAGAACAGCTTTGTGAAGGAAATTGCTTCTGAGAAGGAAATAGAAGGACATTTCTTCTTTGCACAAGAAACTTATTCAAGGGCTTATTTAGTGTGGTCATGGACTCTGCTATTTTTTGTGTGTATGCTACTGTTTCTCAGTATCAGCTCGGAATGCCCTAAAGCATAAGTATTCTATTTCCCATTTCCATTAGCAATTCCACATTATAAATTGTGAGGTCTGTACTCAGTATTGCTGTAGGTTGCTGGCCTGTAAGACTGAGATTTTAAGCCTGGGTTCATGCAGGGCTTCTGAGGAGCCAGATGGAAAAGCAGAGGACATTGTTATGCACAAAATACTTGATGTTAAATCTTAACTTGAGAATAAAGCTGGATTTATAGTTAAAGTATTGCTTTTAGTGAAACTGGTAAATAAGTTTTGAGTGTAGGCTGTCTCTCCATTTTTCGCCCTTGTGGATTCTTGCCTCAAAAGTGGATCAGTAGTACAAATAGAGGTAAGAGATGGGCAAATCTCAGCTTTGGTTTCTCTGTTACTTGTTTTTCCAGTCCTCCGCTTATTTTGTGGTACACCCGTTTGCAACATCTAAAAAGTCAGCCCAAGCAGTGTGCATTTTTGTGTGTATTTATCCTAATATACATACCAGCCATGTACCATATTCTCTCTTTTTGTATGCTTTTTCATGAATGTGCGCATGTTCCTTAATATTCACATTTTTGTACACAGTTTTTGTTTGGAGAATTGTATCACTAAGGGAAGTGAATACCAAAGGATAAACTGTGTTCTGCTTTATATATTGATTTGGAGAGTTTAGCTTTGGTAGATAACTTTTCTAAAGGCAGGCTGAAGAAATTTCTTCTCCTTGCCTTGATAGCAGCATCTGTCACATCCTGTATGAAGATGAAGGGAGCAAGCCAGTCATATGAATGCTAATCCTTATTCCAAAATTTCAGTCTGAAAACATTTTTTAAATGTCTTGTAAAAGGTCAAATTAAATGTGTTTTGAAGAGAGAAAAGAAAAAGGCAGCTTGGTTTATGGTTTTGGAAATGATTTAGACTAGCTGTGTAATTCTAGAAATCTAGTATTATGCTTCTGACCTTGGTGTTTTCTCTTTCAGTCACGAAATTCAAGTTCCAGGTCCACAGCAACAGTCCAAGTCTGCAGTGGTTCCATAAATCTTAAAGGTGCTTTAAAATGCAAAGCTTACATCCATAATAACAAGCCCAAAGTTAAAGATGCTGTTAAGGTACTTTCACTGCACTTCAGTCTACTGAAGGATTTGCTTTTGATCTCTCTCTCTCCCCCCCATCCATTCCCATATTTTTGAATCAATGAAACTGAAGACTTTCATCTCCGTAGGCCACGTTCTTTGCCCTGAGCCACCAATTTTCAATGAAAATGCCAAATTGAAACCAAGTGTCTGCCTTCTGCCCATATTAAACACAAATATGAATTCACGATTGAAAAAGGTTTTCCTTCAGCACTGGAAGGCGGTTATAGCAGTGTTCTTCTCTTGCACATTTGTATGACACAGTGTGTGGTCCCAGATATGTCTGCTCAGAAGTAAGACTAATGGAGTTTGCTGGCACTTACTCTCTGGTAAGTGGATACCGGATTACAGCTTCAGGGAGGGTGGTGGCAACCTGAGTTGCTACAGATGTGTGGCTAGGTTTTCTTAAGGTGGTTCTGCCATGGGGGTGTCCCTTCCTGGACTTCTGTCTGTCCCAGAGGAGTGTTCAGCATCTCACTGCAGTTATAGGCTTGCTTCATAGATTACATTAACCCACAGCATGGGCTGTTGAATTGTGGGTTGTTGTGATGTGCAAATGTGGTCACACAAAGATACCTTATTCTAACAAAACAAAACAAAACAAAAACCCCCAGGAAAGAAAACCTATGGTTTGTTGTTGGGTTGTGAACATGGGTTGTCCAAACTGTGGGTTGTCATCCTGGGATGTTCATGGGCTGGCTTGCATGGCTAGGGAGGCAGTAGGCAAGAGCAGTTAAAAGAAACTTAATGGCAAAACCCCAAAGCCGTTAGTGTGGGACCACAAAGGCATCTGGGATACAGGAAGGGAGTGGGCAAAGGAAAGAGGGAAACAACCCAAGGACTGAATAACAAACCATGGTTTGTTCAACCATCTGTCAGATAAACCCTGGGTACGGCAACAAACCATAGGTTGACTAAATCATGGGTTAAGTGTTACCTGCAAACCAAATCATGATTTTTCTCCATAGAAGGGAGTATAACTGTACTGTGTACATCAGCTGTAGTCCTACATCTTTACTGCTTTGGTCTTGTAAAAGTTCTTTTGCCCAAAGGACTAGGTTGCTCTTACTTTGGTCCTCCACACAGAGTTGAACCAGCACTCCAAAGCTGGGAGGCGGGCTGAATTTTCACAGATGGCTGCCTACGGAATATAAGAAATTATGCAGTTATGAAGAACTGATTCAATACTCAAACCTTTTGCTACTTAGTTATCCTACTTTTCATGCCAGAATGGACTTTCAGTTCCGGTTCCCAGTAAGGCAGGTGTGTTTCCAATTCTTACTGCTCAGAACTGCTGATTACTTCTGAGTAAACATACCTACTCGGGATCACACGCCATGTCTTTTCAATGCTTTCTGCTACTGTGCTGTGTCGTGTCTGAGAACTTGGGCTGTGACTTTAAACAACTAATGAGCCAGTTCTTACATAGTGGCAAATTGTGGGTTGATTAACCTACAATTTGCCTAGCACAACCGGGAGCAAGCAAGCATGCACCTCACTTCTGTTTTTAACTAAACTAGCATCATCCAGCAAGAAGTACAAGCTTGGAGCAATGGGTTTTTTAGGGGCAAAACAGCCCAGGGCTTAATCCACGGTCCTTTCAAGGATGTAATCCTTACAGAAAACTTTTCTGCTGGCTAACAGATGATGGCGGGATTCTTACATTCTTTCTGGAAATTCTCTTACCCTTCTTTCAAAGCTTAGTGGCTGGCAGAAATGTTATAGAAGCAATTTTTCCTGTTAAGCAGTGAAAATTAGGGGAAGGCAGTGGCTGGTCTATTCCTTCCTGTCTTATATTTTTAAAGCAAATGTCCCATATCAGGAAGAGAAATAGAAATTGTCGGAAGAACCGAATTAGCTACTTGCTTTTCTCATGTTATTGAGGGGGAAGCTACAGATGACCCTTCCCTGTATACGGCTGTCATGCTTTCCGGAAAAAATATCCATTCAGAGTGAGTCAGAAAGAATCCTTTGCCACTAAATGTAAGGAAAGACCCAGCCAACCAGAGTCCCTCCTCAACTGTACATAGATTTGGGTTCTGTCTCTTCAGATACAGGTTTGGGCGCACTGAGTACTCTTCTGGGCAAAGTTAAGTAGATGTTTGTTTGGGAGAGCATGGGGGGCCATGCATGGCATCAGGCAGGCTAGTCCTCACAATACCCTTCATGCAAACATCAGTTCATGGAAAGGGATCACGTGTGCCTCACATGTGTGGCATTTCCATTGTTCACCCTGTTGGGCATCAACTATATTGTGCAAGAGTATTGTGGGATGTATAGGAATGAATTGTGCTTTATTGAGTGTACTTGAAGTGTGTGTCTATTTTTTCCATTCTGTTGTTTACTTTACCATAAAGATGGCTATTCCTTGCAGAAGACTGGACTTCTCCCGGGTATAGTCTGGCAGGGACTTTCTCACAGAGTTTAGAATGTTTTTGTATCTTCCTGTTCTTGTCCTTGCAGGCCTTGAAGAGAGACATAATAAACACTCTGTCAGATCGTTGTGAAATACTGTTTGAAGATCTGATTATCAATGAAACGCTAGGAGAGAAAAGTAAGAGACTGAGCAACAGTATGCTTAAATACTACTGCCAGGGACCATGAGAAGTGAGCATGTCATACCAGTTTTGAAATCTGCTTTGGTTGTCAGTAAGCTTCCCAGGTTCCCATGGACAAAGCTCTAAATGTTTCCCTTCATGGTCCATGGGCTACCACAAATGGCACGGTCTTCTCAGTGGTGGCACCACACATCGTGGTGGCTGTGGAACTATGAACTTTCTTCACCTAATTACCCTAGCTATCACACCTAACTTCCTGAGAATGTTCATACCCCTCCAGCTATCAGAAATTGCCCTTGTTGTTCACCAGCCCCAACTCCTGTGTCTTTGACTGTCTACGTCAAAGTGATGTGTCTTTAGGTCATCAAAAACTTTGCCTGCTGAATTTTGCAGATTGAGTTACTGCTGTAGGTATAGAAGTAGGCTGGTCAAAAAGCGTTCACCGCTCCTATAAAAATCCTCGCATGCCTCTTTCTATCTGGTCTTTGCTTCTGACCTCAGGATGGATTTCATAGTTGCACATGGCAGCAAATCTTACCCTTCATAGGCATGAAAGGATTGTTCTGAGGTCTTCTGTTGTGTTCCTCCATTGGACTGGGCCAATCCAAATAGCTTTCTCGGCTTCATGTTGTGCCAGTTCCCTCTCTTGTGTTGTTGTCATTGCTATGATATAATGCAACACAACCTAAATGCATAAAAGCCAGACCACCTGATCTACTCTTTGAGAAACTTCCAATGTCTGATATATTCAAACTTTAACATGGTCAATTGCCTGCAATTTCCAGTTGCCCCTTTAGGGGGCATTCATTGACTAGTGAATAGCTTTGCATGGAATGCCCCTGCTATGTTTTTAAGGTTGTTCCTTAAACTATGTGTCCAATATAATTTCCCTTGATCTGTAACCTTCTATGCCTCAAATTTCCTTTTTGCTTTGCTTTAAAATGTGATTTTCAAATTTCCTTGTTTTCAGCAGATGTTAATATTTACTTGAAGGAGAGACATGTTAGATCACAAACTACAAAGAATTTTGAGACAGCTTAAACGCATATATGATTGTCTAAGCTTTTGCTGAACTACAAGATGCATGAAGCTACGTAGCTGCTTAGAAAGGCCTAACTATACATTTCCCATTTGGGCATAGCGTCTTTCTCATCCTTTCCTGCTAGGAGGTCATTCAAGCCCAGCAGAAAAACCCATATACATTTTTAGTGGTAGCTCCTATTTAACACAACAGGCTGTTTCGCCTCCTTGTGCCCACTGCATGGCTTACTTTTGCGAATGGGGGAGAAGAAATCTTGACATCCAATGTCCCTCCTCCTACTTCTCTTACCTCAGTCCCTTGGAAGTAGCTTGGAAGTCCCAGCCAATGGATCCAGCAAGATGTCCTGTCTTAAAGGAAAATCATACCTGTCTAGCCACCTTTTGGGGTTGTTCTGAGAGACTGGTTTGTATGGCACAGTGTAGTGAACTGATTAGGGATTTTATGATATTAAGCAGTATACAAGGAGTATAAACATTAACTACGTAAATTAAATAGGCAAACTCAGCTACCAGAAAACTCCTCAGCAGAGGGTGTTAGATATACATCTTTGTGTATGTACATAGATACATATGTTTGTATATGCATGATATATGCGCGGTATCAGTACTATCCTCGTATTTCATTTCCAGATTATCTCACCACTAATCCAAAGGGTTCTTGCAGCAATATGCAATACCTTAATCAAGCATCCTTAATTAAGCAAATACAAAATCAGATGCTGGCGGCTTTGGAGGTTGCATGCATAGTAGGAGGAATAGTCATATACAAAGGCTTCATGAATAGCATGTGTACCATCTCTAGTAGACGATTTTCAAGTGATGTGAGACCAGTGTAGCAGCATTAATACAGACTGATGTAGATATCATGCCTACACTGCAGTCTGTGCCAGTGATCATACTGTGCTTGTTTTTTGAAAAAGTTTTATTTTTAATAGACCTAACAAAAAAGAAACTAAAAAGTCATCAGTCATCAAAAGCATCAGACCTACTGGGTCAGCCCCCCACATTTTTTCTTTTTATGTTAAACTATAAACATATTTACTGTTTAAACATATTAGTTTAAACATACATAATTTATGTTAAACTAGAAACATATTTACTGTTTTTAATGGTGTTTAAGAAGAGCTTTCTCCCCCCGCCCAACTTTTCTTGTTCTTAGATTCTGAGAGAGAGTATCACACCTTGCCTTGCAGAGTGTTTGCCCCCATTGCTGGGTCCACTGTGTTGTTTTGTGATTATAAGTTTGGTGACGAGTCAGCTGAGGAAATCCAAGATCGCTTTCTTGAAATGCTGGATCAAGCTGTCCAAGCAGAGGATTTACATGCAGCTGAGGAAATGCATATAGGTAAGTATAGCTGCTAAACTAAGAGCCAAATTGCTGTATACCCAGCATCATTGAGAAGCCAGACCTGAAGCACAAGCACATGCTAATTCTGGTTCTACTTATTTCCAGGCTTGAACCTGGTTGGGGTTTTAGGATGGTTTAAACCATGTCTAGTTTTTCTAGATTCCTAGGACTTTAGCTATAAAAGGCAAAATGCTTGTTATGTTGTGTTTGTGTATCATGCCCTGACTCAGCACACAAATATTGTTCAAGATAGAGCATAGAAGCCATCGCAAAAGATATTTGAATAGATTGAAGGTTTCGTTTACTGCTTTTTGCTCTCACCCAAGTCAGAAACTATGTAGCCGGAAGTGTAGCAGTGAGCCTTATGTGTATGTCAAAGTATGTGGCTGAGATTGAACAACTCTGGGGGGAAAACCCTTTAATTGTATAGTGTCTAACGGACATAAAGTGTAAAATATGCTAAACATCCAGTTGCTTTGTAGTGAATTTTCAAAGACCAGTACCTGGCAATAAGTTTACTACTTACTCATTCTTCTATGTAACTAATTGATTAATTTATAAGGGGTTTCTCTGATGCATTGCCCTGAAACCTGTTAGCCAGAGGGTTACTAATGAGTCTTCCCACATCTATCTTAGCCAGAAGATAGCAAAAGGTACCTTAATCTTCCTGAGCTCCCCCATCAATCCAAATATACCTTGTATATGTATTCCCTTTCATAGGTAACATCCCTGGGGACAGTCTGGACTGGGGGATAGCACTGGGGGAAGTGTCAGGATCCACCCCTATGACAGGACCCCAATCAAAATGAAGGTTCCTTTAGAAAAAAGGCAGCAGTGGATCTATGCTTGTATAATATTGATCTACTATTTCTTGGGCTTCAGCTTGTATTTTTTTAACTGTCTCTGCTACAGCTAATGACCTCCCTCCAAACTTCTTGCTTTGAATGAAATGATCTTTAAATTCATTTAATCTGTAAATTATTCATTTAAAGTTATTCATTTTTTAAAAATAGGAATTGTAATGTGTTTGATACACAATTTGCATTATCAATGCAACTGATAATTTAGTATACGCCTCAAAGACCACTGTGGTCAGGTACTTCTATTTTTCAGAATGAACAAATAAGATCTGCAATAGCAGTTAAATCCCAGCTTTCAGTATCCAGGAGTTAAACCTGCTGAGTAGATAAACACAGATAAGATTTCAGCAAGGGTAATCTCTTCCCTGCATGGACTCTTGCTTGTCTAGTTGAAGATCCAAAGGACCCAAAACATGGTCTGTGTAATATTTAGCATATTGCACAGCATCGGCCTCCCGAAGGGTCTGAATATTTCTTGCTGCTCGATGTCACTGATGGATTGGATGGACCATTAACCTTTAGACGGGAACTTTTACGTGGACAAAATTGGGAGGAAACGTACACGTCATGCAAATGGAAGCCACTTCCATGACATGGAAATCATGCAAATGGTTTCCTACTAATTTATGCCTGCTCTTTCTGTTCCTGCCTCTCCCTCTGTATATTTTCCGTTAATTTCAAAATGATTCAACTTTTGGAAACCTCAGACCTTCCATTATTCATGATGAACTCTTGTTTCTATGTGTTTAGATGTGTGCCTTGTTTTTAGTTACATGCTTTGAAGTTCTGCTTCAGCAGCTGGATTATGCAAAGGGGGCCCAAGGCTGTCCATATCACATATTGTGCCAAATTGTGCAAAATAGTTTTGCATATGTCTGCTTGCTTTTTGCAGCCTGGCTTAAGAAGAATTCCGACTATAATGCGCATTAGCAAGCATGGAGGGAGGAAGCAGTGTGAGAATGGATTGTGCAATAAGATTAAGTCAACACACTATCAGTTTGGTATTGTTTTTATTCCTGCAGTTGAAGTAAGCCCCCCAAAAGAGCTCCAAGATAACGTGCAGCAGAAACGGTTGACAAAAGAAATGCTGCTGTTAAAACTTCACCAGAACATAGGTAAGCTTCAGCAATTGCTTCTTCCCTTTTGGCACTAATCTTGTCCTTTCTCAGTATGATCATCAGCATAATACCTCCCTGCCTTTGTTAGTAAACACTGTCACAGCTGTACCAAAGATGCAAGGCAGATTTGAAGTTATCCTTTCTGCTTTAGGGACCCTGAGGGTGTGGAATGGGCTTCCACGGGAGGTGGTTGAAGCCCCATCGGTACGGGTGTTCAAGGATAGGCTGGGCATGCACATGGTAGCAGAGCCGACTGGAGCCAGGGTCAGACTAGATGGCCCGGGAGGACCCTTCTAACTCATTCTGCTTCTTTGTTTCTAATTCATACAGCATTCCTGTAGCTCCTCAGTCTCCTTTCCTCTTTGGTGCAAAATCCATGTCTCCACAGTTCTTCTGACCTTGATCTGACTCCTGCATGATCTTTCAAGGGGATGTCACACGGAGATGGGCAGAGACCTGTTCTCCCCTGCAGAGGAAGGCAGGACGCGCTCCAACAGAGCAAAGCTCAGTGAGCCAAGGCTCCATTTAGATGCCAGGAAGCACTTCCTGACAGTCAGGACCCCGAGGGTGTGGAATGGGCTTCCACAAGAGGTTGTTGAGGCCCCATCAGTGTGGGTGTTCAAGGATAGGCTGGGCATGCACATGGTAGCAGAGCCGACTGGAGCCGGGGTCAGACTAGATGGCCCAGGAGGCCCCTTCTGACTCGCTCCGTTTCAATGTTTCTATCTTAATCACCAGGTGGAAAAATAGACTTGGGGCAGCTTCCTGAAGCTGCATATGTGTAAAGGGAAACCATTAGTCATTGAGGTTTAGTTTGACTTGCCAAATGCACATGCTCTCTTCAGAAGAAGGGCTGCAATCAAATCGCCACTTCCCTTGAAAAACGCCTCGCCAGAACCATGGGATTTCTGCATAAAAGATTACAGACCTTCCAGAAAGCCCTCTGTTCCTGCTGAGCTAGTTCCCTGCCACCCGCACCCTGCCACATGTCATTGTATACTATGGACTGTGGTACTTCCGAAGGTGGTTGCCCTTTTGGAGTATTCTTTGTGCTGTTGTTTTTAGTAGTCTATTTTGGATTAGTAGCTCAGCCACCAAAAGAAGGTCGGAGATTGACTCCTTTCACCTCCTGGGTTCACAGTTCACCGGCTTGTTCCTTTGAGCTGCTGCGTAAGCATAGTGATTTGTCGGATGACTCCTAAAGAGTCCTAGAACAAGAGCACGGATGATCTCTTTGCCCTGGCCCTGTGAAGGAATAATGCGTATCGTTGAATAAAGTGGAAGGAGCGCTCTACAGCCCTTGCTAGCACCATGCGTGTTGTGGGTTGCTGTAAAGCGCATATTTACTTGTGATCTTGTAATAATTAGGTTATCCCATGTGCATACTTAATCTCTGTTTCCTTTGTCATGTTTAGGAATGGTGGTCGCCGTGGCTGTTGCAGTATCCGCAGCTGCTTTCTCTTTTAACTACTTCAGCGATTAGACTTCAAATATTTAAGAACCATCCTAAAATCTCCTGCCACCACAGACCTACCCAGTCCTGAAGAGATGCACACTTATAGAAACGAATGCATTAATCACCTAATGTGTCACCTGAAAATACAAATTAGCTGTTCTTACTAATGATAGCGTCAGCTGTCCTTTTCCTGCATGCAAATTATCTAGGTGGCGTGGTTTTCAAAAGGGAGAAGAAGAAGAGGACCGCCGACTGTTAGAAAATACCTATAATATAGCATTACTTTTACAGGAAGAATTTGTCAAATGCCTACTTACCTTTCTTCCTTACCAAATAAAAGGACCATTGTTAAAAGTGGTTGCTTGTGTTCTTCCAAGCAGTTTTGAAGCTCTGAGAGATTAAGCAAGATGAGGTTTTCCTGTTTTGTTTCTTTAACCGTCACAACAGCTTCTGCAGGCATTATTGTGGTCTTCAAGGCTTAAAGAGGTTTCTTTCCCCTTTCCAGGGAGCACTGGAAGTTCCAGGTCTGTTAGCAGGGCTGGGCATCTGTGACAATACCCGATTCCTTCACCAGTTAACACTCCCAATATTCTTTAGCGGAAATCATGACGATTGCATTAATATCAAGACAATTGTTGCTGTCGTGGCAATGCAACATGAATTCATTTGAGAAGTCCTTGTTCAGCCAGGATGTTGTCTTTCCTGAATAGTATGTGTAAATTTTGCAGTGCATGATGGGATTTCAAAGATCATTGCTTAGCTCAAGCCTGTTACAGATGAGTGGATGAAAGACAACTTGGTCCTACTTACATTTGTAACCACTCCCTACCACACCATTCCTTCACCCCTAGCCCAAGAGCTGCAGCTACCTGCCTTAAATTATAATCGATCTGCATGGCAATTCATTCCCACACTCTGCTGTCATCCATGCTATTCTGCAGCATGCTTTGTGTTAATGATGTTTATCACAGCTGTCCACACATAAGATGCTTTCCTTTGCACAATCATCTCAAAATTTTGCCTTTCGATCGGCCGCTTATGCAATTTTTACATTGCATTCATATGCTCTCTTTTTTCCTTCTGTGAAGAACCCAGAATGGCTTACATGACTTCTTCTATCCTCAGAACAACCCTATCTGTGTTATCAGAAAGAGAATCTGCATAAAATATGTTTATGCTGTATACAGTACACATCTGGAAATCATGCATTTAAATAGACACAGAATCCATCTCAGTATCCTGGGAGAAACTGTGACTAGGTGACCTATCTGCCTACACAAGTCTGTTGATCAGATGCTATCTGTTGATGCTATCTGAAGCTCTTCCTGTGGTTAATCTTGAAACCGGATAAGTAGAAAAAATAGAAAATGTGGCTACCATAATTGTTTGGGACGAAGTGTGGCAGCTAAAAGAACTTGGTAAGATTTTCAGAAAATGTGTTGGTATTCTGGGGCTTTTTTCCCTTTAAAGAGTTTGCTTGTTTATATTTAAAACATTTTTACCCCATCTTTACTCAAAATGGGTCTCAAGATGGCTGACAATATAGCAGCATGTTTAAACCCTTAAAGTATTGGGAGGTGGGGGACGAATAAAGTGAGGGACCAGGTAACCTCATTCACCAGTGGATAAAGTGAACATCTCTGGGGAGCAAATCCCAGAGTCTGGGTGCTACCAAAGAAATGACTTTTCAGGTAGTCATTCTTCTAACCTCCCAAAAAAGGACCTCAGTGGAAGATCCTAGTTCAAGCAGATGCATATGAGAGAAGACATTCCTTTAGATGACCAGACCCTAAACCATTTATGGCTTTATATGTCAAAGTTAGCATCCTAAATTGGGCCAAACTTCAACTGGTAACCAATGGAGGTGATATAGGACTGGTGCTATATGATCACGTCTGCAAAGATCATCATATGAAGTGTCAACGGGGAGGGTGGGTCCCCAATCTGTCTGGGCTCCTGGACCCTTCTGGGTATTTGGGAAACTGCTGTGGGCACCACTGAACAATTCCTGAGCGGTGACTTGCCACTTCAGCTTTTTCTTGTGTCTAGGAATCTTGGGCTTCATGCCTATTGGATACTGCAATGTCTCATTCAGTTAATGTCTCTAATTCAGTTAATTGCTGGTATTGCAATGCAGCTACTGCTTCCTTTAGACATACAGTTTGGAGATGTTCAGTAGTGTGTTCGTGTGTGTGTGTGTGTGTGTGTAGGGTACCCACAGTTAATGCACTGGGGATTCCTTCACAGTGGCAACTGAGGTGCCCCAGTGATTTTGTATAATAGTTCAAAAGTTATTGTTTTATTTTTGCACAAGGGGAAAAAACATTTTAGGTGAAATAGGAGAGAAGATGGGATGAACCTACTGTGAGGGTACTTTGAAAGCTTCCTTACTGTTTGCAATAAAACTTCGTTTCTTCCTTTCCTGAGACAAGCTCAGAAACAACCGTTTTTCAGCTTACTATCATTTGTGTTGTTGCAGCCCACACCCCCATCCATAGATTAGTTTTGCATTTTGAAAAAACTTTGTTTTAAAAAACATAAATGCTTTAATGTTAAAAAGAGGAATAAACATACCTAGGGTGTGGTGGTTGTTTGTTTGTTTGTTTAACAATAGGCCAATATAAGAGCAGGTGCAAACGCTTGGATATGTGTGTTATAATCCTGTCATGCTAAGCACCATATGTCCTTGGGTAACTGTTCAAGCCTTTGGTTTTGTTGGGTATTACGCAGGGTTAACAGACTGTGAAAACCAAATGCAAATTCCCAGTAAATGGAACATATGGGGATTTATGGGAGGAATGGTGATACAAGCTAGCACCCTCTGCTAAACTGATTTCCACCTAGCCGCCCCTTGAGATCTGCCCGCCCCTTGAGATCTGTGGGAGAGGCCCTTCTCCGGGAACCCTCCATGAAAGAAATTAGGAGGGTAGGTACTCGGAGGAGGGCTTTCTCTGCGGTGGCGCCCAATCTATGGAATGCGCTCCCCAGAGAGGTCCGCCTGGCGCTGTCATTATTTGTTTCTTGGCGCCAGGCGAAGACCTTTTTATTTAAGCATCATTTTAATTGTTGATATTATTCACTTATTTTATCTGGCCAGGGTGACTTATTTTATATTGTTATCTCTTGTATTTTAATTTATGTTGTGAGCCACCCCGAGGCTTCAGCGAATGGGGCGGCATAGAAATGTTTTAATAAAAAATAAATAAAATAGCCAATCCCCCTCCCAACATTTAGCAGAAGATGCATGTCATGTTTCCTTCCATGTACCCTTCAGTTCCCCTCCCACTTAGATTCTGAGCAATCTCCACCACCACCAACACAAACCTCAAATAGGGTCCGTTATGTGTGTATAAAGCAAAACAGATTCACAGTGAAGGGTTCAGAGAACTTCAGCTATTGGGCAATATGGAGAATATAATAAATTTGCGAGAACGCTCCTGAAGGAACACATTTGCTCCCTTCTCATGACTAAAAAGTGCTCCTGTTGGGAAATGGTCTTGAAATGTTCAATGCAAAAATAATTGTGTGTCTGTGTTGGGGGATTGCATCAGTACAAGGTAATCTGGGAGGCCATATTTTTAAAGTGAGGATGGCAGTTACTGTCTGTAAAAATTTCCCTTGTGTGATACCTGGCTCTCCAAAGTGCAACAAGAACATTCTGTAAAGAATAGATAATCTTTTAGAGGTTCTGCACTTACACAATGGCTGTTGTCCTGGTGAGTGTGTTGGCGAGAAGCCTTAAACGTAATAACATCTTATATGCTGTTTTAGGAGTTCAAAGAGGGTGGGAGTGTCCAAGAATGCAGCAGCTAAGCTATCGAAAGTTTATTCATCAGGGGAGTTCCCTCTTCAGGGAAGTCTTCCATTTATAGCTCATCACCACCTCCTCTGAACTCAATTTGCTAGCCTTCACTTGCAGCGTTTAGAACATGATTTGATTTTTTTCACCTGTTCTCCCTTCATTATCTTTTTGCTCCCTCTCAGAATGCCTACAGTGTGGGATGAACTTCCATAGCTGCAATAAAGTGCTGTAGTTGCATCTCTTGGCAGCTGTACTTTTTTAGACTTGGAAATGGACATTGAGAAGCAAGGGTAGCCTCAGGCAAAACACCTGGTTGAACCAGAAAAGTTCAGCTGAGGTTTGCTCTCCACCTCCCTGCATGAGCAAAGCAGAGCAAAAACCGCACACCTCTCTTCTTTGTGTTTTGCTCCCGGTAAAGTGAATAAGCTACCTGTCAAAGTGTCTTGAAGGCACCCAGCCCTGCAGACATCCAGCTCTTGGAGGTGATGGGAGAGGTTGTGTCAAGAACAGGACTCGGCCTGCCCTGTCCGTCGGTCCGTGTGAGCTTGCAACACATTCCAAGAGCCTGGTGGAATGCAATTGAGAAAGTCAACCACAGGGGAGGGGTTTTCCCAGACTTTTCAGCAGTGTAGCAGCCCAAGTAGTTACTAAAGCAAGCAGTCTCCAAAGATCTCCAAAGATCTCCTAAGATCACAGGTTTGAAATGATGGGCATGCCTGTATTGGTAGGCCTGGGGGATAAAGCTCCCTAACACCCATGTTGCACTGCAAGTTAACTTCCCTTTGGGAAGAGTTAGGGCTATGGGGCCTTTGGATAGCTCTCCCCTCACCCATTGATGTGCTCAGTCTGGGGAGGAGCCAGGATGGCTCATGCTAGGTCAGAGGTGCTTGAGGGTGGAGGAAAACATGTCATGGCAGCAGGACCATGCGACTGGTTCCCAGTCTTTGGGTTGGAGCCAAGGTGGGATGTACTGGTGAGAGCGAATGTGGGGTGGTGGACTGGGGGCCCAGCGTGTGAGAGTGTTGGACTGAGGCCCCAGGAGATCAGGTTCTAGTCCCTATTCAGCCACGAAGTTCACTGGGTAACTTTGGGCTAGTCACTCACTCTCAGCCCAACCTACTTCACACGCTTGCTTTTGTGAGGATAAAATGGAGCTACGTGAGCTGCCTTGCGTTCCTCACAAGAATAGGAAAGATGGATACAAATGCAACAATAGCATATAGCTGGAACTCATTATAGCTGATGAGGAGGGTGAGGGTGACGTCAGAGGCTCTGAATTTAAATGGTTTTAAGGTTTAAATACCAATCTATGAACTTACCACAATGGGCAAGAGCCCAGAAGAATGGAATTTAGAGAAATGTGATGGTTACCAAAAAAAAAATCCTCACCCTTATCTTTATAAAAATATTCTTGACAGTGTGTGTGAAAGAGGCATCTCAGAAGAAACTTGCAAGTTTGTATAATAAAGAGATGGGTAGCTTATCAGCCCAAATATCTGAGGTGCCACCATTCCCATCATCCTAGGCTGGTGGGAGCTGCAGGCCTAAACATTTG